ATGCAACTTGGATGGTGAACTTCAGGTTGACATGATTATCGCTTCATTGCCAGACTCATTTAACTCTTTTAGGGTTAATTGTTATATGAATAAGCTTGAGTACACACTCGCTGAACTATTGAATGAGTTGGTAACCTTTGAAGGGATAAACAAAAGCAAGGGTGCATCTATCAACTACACTCAGTCTGCTGGACCATCCACTTCTAGGCCCAAGAGGAGGGGCAAGAAAAAGAAGAAGGATGGTGCCAAAACTGTGGTTGTGCCAAACAAAGTAATCCAAAAGGATAAGGGAAAGAAGAAAGTGCGGGTTGAAGGCGAAGGAAACTGCTTCCATTGCGGTCAACCGGGTCACTGGAAACCTAACTGCCCAATACTTCGCACACAAGGCAAAGGAAAAGGTATATTCATTGTTGAGGCATGTAATGTGGTTGAATCTATAGATTCCTGGTGCATAGATTCTGGAGCCACTAATCATGTTTGCAATTCATTGCAGGGATTCTAGGAGACCAGAAGCCTCAATGAAGGAGAGATATACTTGCATATGGGATCTAATGCCAAGGTGGAAGCTAAAGCAGTGGGAGTGGTTCATATGCAGTTTGATAGTGGGAGGAGTCTTATTTTAGAAGATTGTCTTTATGTGCCAAATGTTAAGTACAATTTAATTTCAGTTTCTTCGTTAGTTTGCAAAAATTATATTTTTACTTTTGGAAAAAAATGTTTTAATTAAATTAAATGGTTGTGTTATAACTTCTGTTGCATTGAAAGATAATCTATATATTTTAACTCCTAGCTCATATCAAATGCAAAATTATGAATTAAATGCAACTTCATCTAGATTGAATGTTAAAAGAAAAGCAGTTTCTCCAAACTCATTGTATCATTGGCATCTACGATTGGGTCACATCAATCAAAATAGGATTCAAAGGTTGGTTAAAGAAGGTTTATTACCTTGTGAGGCAGAGGAGTCTATGCCAACTTATGAATCATGTATTGAAAGAAAGATGACTCGAAGGGCTTACTCAGCCAAAGGATATAGAGCCAAAGAACAATTAGAGTTGGTGCACACAGACGTGTGTGGTCCCATGAACACCCAAGCGAGAGGAGGGTTTGAGTACTTCATCACTTTCATTGATGATTATTCACGTTTTGGATATTTACCTAATGCGACACAAGTTAGAAGCTTATGGAAAATTCCGTGAGTTTCAGGCGGAAGTGGAGCGTAGATTAGGTAAACTTATCAAAACACTTCGATCTAATCGAGGAGGTGAATACCTCTTGGGGGAGTTCAAGGATCATATGGTCAATGAGGGTATTGTGCGCCAGTTATCCGCACCTGACTGCCCTCAATAGAATGGAGTGGCAGAAAGGAGAAACAGAACTTTACTTAACATGGTTAGATCTATGATGAGTTTTGCTACATTACCCCTATCATTTTGGGGATTAGCCTTAGAATCAGCAATGTATATTTTGAACTGTGTTCCATCCAAGTCTATTTCAGGAACGCCATATGAGCTGTGGTTTGGACAAAAACCTAGTTTAAATCATATGCATATATGGGGGTATCCAGTACACGTACGAAAGAAACAGGCAGATAAGTTGGAAGCAAGATCAGATGCATGCTTGTTTGTTGGCTATCCTAAGGGCACTAGAGGTGGATTATTTTATGATCCCAGGGACAATAAGGTTATTGTCAGCACTCATGCTGTTTACCTGGAGGAGGATTATATTATGAACTACAGACCTAGTAGCCAGATAGTGTTAGAGGAGATGGTTAGCACGTCAGATATACCCCTTGTGGACACACTTAATATAAATACTGAGAATGATGAGACACAAGAAGTCCCTGTTGAATTACCATCATCTAGTACATCGATTCCTGCACCGGTCCTTCGGCGTAGTGGGAGGACTATCATCCAACCCGAAAAACTCACACTTTTGGGTGAGGTCTATGAGGCCGTCCCCGATAAGCATGAGTCGGACCTAGTAAGCTATGCGGAAGCGTTGACCAATATATATGCGAATCGTTGGAAAGATGCCATGAGATCAGAGTTGGAATCGATGTATTCTAACAAAGTCTGGGATATTGTAGAACTTCCTAGTGGGGTTCAGCCCATTGGTTGTAAGTGGATCTACAAATGAAAGAGAGGAATGGATGGGAATGTTGAGACATTCAAAGCTAGACTGGTTGCCAAAGGCTTCACTCAACGTGAAGGTATTGATTATGAGGATACATTCTCACCAGTTGCAATGCTTAAATCTATTCACATTCTTTTGGCCATTAGTGCTTATTATGACTATGAGATATGGCAGATGGATGTTAAGACGGCATTTTTAAATGGCCATCTTGAACAAGACATCTACATGAGGCAACCAAACGGTTTCGCAGTTAAAGGTCGTGAGGACTGTGTATGTAAGTTGAATAGGTCTATTTATGGACTTAAGCAAGCTTCACGCACATGGAACATTTGTTTTGATCAGGCAGTCAAATTATTTGGCTTTGAACAAAACGTGTTTGAACCTTGCGTTTACAAGAAAAAACAGGGTAATGTCATCATGATTCTCGTTTTATATGTTGATGACATCTTGTTCATTGGTAATGATGTAGAAGCATTGTCATCAGTTAAAAGGTGGTTGTTCAATAAATTTGAGATGAAAGATCTTAGAGAAGCAAGCTATATTCTTGGGATCAAGCTTATGCGAGATCGGATTAAAAAGAAAATTGGCTTGTCTCAAGAGTCTTACATTGACAAAGTTCTGATCAGGTTTGGAATGGAAAACTCTAAGAAAGGGTTTTTGCCATTTAGACATGGGTTGGCTCTTTCTAATGACCAGTCTCCCAAGACTGATAAGGAAATTGAGCAAATGAGGCGGGTACCATACGCTTCGGCAGTTGGTAGTCTCATGTATGCCATGGTCTGTACCAGACCAGACATCTACTACTCTGTAGGGATTGTCAGTAGATATCAGTCCAATCCTGGACTTGATCATTGGTCAGCTGTGAAGAATATCTTAAAATACCTTAGAAGAACTAAGAATCTAATGCTCATTTATGGAGGTGATGATCTGGTTCCAGTCGGATATACGGATTCTGATTTTCAATCAGATCCTGATGCCAGGAGATCTACATCTGGATATGTGTTCAAGTTCAATGGAGGGGCAGTTAGTTGGAAGAGTGTCAAGCAGGGTTGTACTGTTGACTCAACCATGGAAGCAGAATACATTGCAGCCTCTGAGGCAGCAAAAGAAGCTGTTTGGTTGAGAAACTTTCTAATTGAACTGGAGGTTGTGGAGCACATAGATCGGCCTATAACACTTCATTGCGATAATAGTGCAGCTATAGCCCAAACCAAGGACCCAAAATTTTATAAAGGAACAAGACACATTCAGAGGAAACATCATGTGGTTCGTGATATAGTAAAGCGAGGAGATATACTTGTGGCTAAGATTGCATCGGAATATAACCTTGCTGATCAATTCACAAAGGCTTTACCGATCAAGATGTTTGATCGTCATATGGAGAACATGGGAGTTAAATGTGATTTGAATTGGCTATAAGTGTAAGTGGGAGCTGTTAGGATATGTGTGCCCTAGCATAGCAAATTCTAATTTTGGATTGTAAAAGTCATGGTTTCTTATCTGGATATTATTATTAAAGTATTATACAATTGGTGAATGGAATGTATTATTTGTTCGATTCATTATGGAATTGATTGTGTCCACTTGATTACAAAATATATTTATATGTATGTAATGGCAATTAATACTATGTTATAAATTAGTAATCATAAATGGTTTAAAGTCGGTAATTATGGATGGACATTTAATTAGTTAAGACTTAAACCGAGTCCACGATAAATTGAGATATATTGCGAGAGCTGTCATATGCAATTGCTCTCTATCACAGTCATGACTTTTGACTCTCAAGCATGAGAGAAGTATAGACTCTTTTATTAATTAATAATTACTTTGATTTGTTCGGCGGATACCTCGGGATCCTTAGATCGACACTTTGGGTAGTTATGTAATTAATAATTAGAGGTCTATATTCTCAATATTTGCATCAGTGCTATTTGTATTTATTTTGTTTTGATTATGGTTGATCACAAATTAAATTCGAAGGCCTTCGTATGTTTTAGACAAATGTTTTATATATATATTTATTTAATAAATTAGTATTATTTTTCGTCAAATAAATATTTTATTGTGATCAAGCCGGAAATAATCAAAGGTAACAAAATAATTATATTAATTATGTTGTCGGATTGATGGCTTTAATTATCCGATAAATAATTAAGTATAGATGGGTCAAAGTGCAATATTGACTTAGAGGTTATTTACTATTTAATTGGAGTGCAATTAATTTCTTTTAGTGGAGTAGAAATTAATTTATGAATTAATTGAATTGGGTCCATGGTTTAATGGACCGGACCAATTATTAATTTATAGGAGCCAAGAAAATAGTAAGCCCAAAAGGATTCTCACCAATAGCCCAAGTTGATATTGGAGTCATGTTAGGATTAAGAAAGTTGAATTAGAGATGGAGAATGATTTATTGTTTCCTTATTCTTATTTTTATTTTGCCTATATATACATGAGTTCATGTATATTTTAGGTGTGACTTTGAGAACAAGAAAAAGGAATACACTTTCTCTCTCTAGATTTTAGGGTTTTGTTTTCTCTTCTAAAGGAGGCTACCACTAGCCTAGATTCCAAGATCATTCATCAAGGCATATTGGTGATTCCTAAAGGGAAGATAATAATCAAAAAGAAGGAGAAATGATCTTGTTAAAGGGATCTACAATAAGTGAGAACATTCACTTTAGAGGAAAGTTCAAAAGGTTTACTCAGACCTTTGATGTAAGTATTCAATCTGTTTATTGAATTATGCATCATCTTTTATTTATCTTTGCATAAAACTTGTCTCCATGTAATGAATCAAGATCTATGATTGCAAATCCCTCAGAAAGTTTTAAAAACTTGCACGTTTCCCAACAACTTCATCCCATAAAGTCTCATGGTGCATGGGATATATGATATTTTTGTAAGCTTTTACATAAGTGTACCTACTAAAGAATTCATGACAATACTCCTCAATATTCTCTCTTCTCCATGTAATACATATTGCTGCATGCTTACATGGCACACCAGTGAGTTACCATTCCCTGCAACAGCAAGTTCTGCTATGAAGATTGACAATATATTTGAAGGTATTTTCCTCTGTTACCTCATAAAAGTCACCACCTGGCCAAATCAATTGACATGTCCCTCCCTTTTCAATAACTCAATTCAACTTGTTTCTAATTTTTAGGACTACAAAATTATCCTAAGTAGCAGATTTCTGAAACCTTTTGGAGAATTTGCTCATAAGCTTGGTTCTTATACCCTCAAACATAGCAGTTATAGGTTTTGCCCTCACCTTCTTAAGCCATGAGTTTAATGACTCAACTGCATTATTTGTCAGAAAATCACAATTCTCATCAAACCTATGCCTTGCCCATGTTTCAAGTGGATGGTCCATCAACCACTGCCATGCTTTTGGATAATTATTTTGTATCTTTGCCATAGCATTATTGAATTCCAACTCTCTATGAGCCCTAGCTGCAACCCAAAATAATTTTCTATACTTAACACCAAGATACAATGTTCTAAAGTTAGAATAAATATGTCTGTAACACCTTCTATTAAAAGCATGAGGATATACCTCATCCACAGCTAGAAGTATTCCGCCAAATTTCCACATGTGTCACCAGTGATTTTGTGTAAGTGTTCCAAAAACCATGTAACAACTCACTCCACCACATGGTATGATATTGTCCGTTTTAGCCTGAGCCCGCACGGTTTTGCTCTTGAGCTTTACCCCAAAAGGTTTCATACCAATTGGAGTGGCACACCTACATATAAGCACTTCACCTTTCCTTTACTCAGGCGATGCAGGACTGTGCACCCGTAACTCGCCAGTATAGTAAGCTGTCGCTTGATCACTTGCAAAGGGTGCGGGGTGCTGGTCTCCAAAGATTTCTATGGTTGCAGAAGATGCAACTATTGGGTCTGCAGATCATGTTATAAATTGCCGCCAGAGATGCGACACCCCTTTCACAAGGAACATCCCCTCACTCTTCACTATTATGAAGAAGGTGAGTCTTCCTGCAATGCGTGCTCCAACTACATAATGCGTGATAAGTTCATTTACAGCTGTTCAGAATATAAATTTAAGCTGGACATTAAATGCGCTACGCTCATTCCCACTACCAAAAATCACTCGGAGCAGCGGATGTTCTCTCACCCCCATCCATTGTTTCCTTGCAATAGGGATAATAAGGATGTTGATTTTTCATGCTCCATGTGCCACCTACCCATACCCATCAAGGCCATCATCTATGTTTGTTTAGATTGCCCCGCTATCATGGATGAATCATGTGACCAACTCACACACCAGATCACACATCACTTTCACCCTCAGCACTCTCTCACTCTCCAACTTCAACGTCCTACTTCTTCCTGCAAAGCCTGTGGGGAGTGTAAGCATTTCCACTACAGCTGTTCTGAGTGTAAATTTAATCTGGACGTAAGGTGCGCTTCTCTGAAACCCAAAGCCATTGAAAACCAGCTCACATTCACCCACCCTCATGTTCTGCTTCCCTCTGATTGTGATACCAAGGGGAATTTTAGTTTTCTCTGTTCTGCTTGTGAGTTATCCATTCAGGATGGTGCAGTCTATGTTTGTCTTCAATGCCGGTTTTTACTGCACGAATCATGCGCTCAATTGCCACAATTTATCAAACACCCCTTTCATCCGCCACATCATCTTCTACTCCAGGATGAAAAATATAGTTACCCTTCCTCATCATGCGAGGCATGTAAATGTTCTGTTTCATGCTTCAACTACTGGTGTGCCAAGTGTGACCTTGCAATAGATGTTGCATGTGCTCCGCTTAGCTACTCCACTTTCAAATTTGATCAACTTCACCGCCATGCTCTTACTTTCTTCAACCATAACACGACTGGCTATACTAATGTGTGCATTTGTGGACATTACCTTGGTTTACCTTACTTCTGTTGTGTGCCATGCGATTTTACTCTCGACTTGTGCTGCCTTCCGAAATTACCACATACAATTAAGCATAGCCATCATGACCGTCATTCACTCAGCCTCACTCGTTCTCCCGTCCTTGACAATTTAGATGATGATGAACACTCGGAATATTACTGTGACCTTTGTGAGAAACTGAGAAATTACTGTGATCCAACTTATTACTATGAGGAATGCCACTATGTTGCTCATCTAGGTTGCGTGTTTGATGAGGTACACACTAATTGAATTTCAACTATATATTTGATAGAGACCTACATTGCTCACAATTAAATAGTAGCCCATTATATAAATTTGGTAACATTTAGAATGGTTTTCACGCCTTATATATATATATTTTAAAAAAAAAAAGTTTGTTATTTATTTAGTTGCCCGATTTTTACCAAGTTAAACTCTTTTAACTTTTGGTTGCTTGTCAGATTCTTCCATTACTAGACAGAGGGTGGTCCTTGTCAGATGAAGAGATTGAAATGCTTCAAACAGATGTAGATGTACTGACTTCAAAACTAGAGACACTAAAAACAAAATTAGATGAACTTAACGAGAAACGTGCATAACATATTAGTAACTACCAAGTTGGTAAGTTATTTTGTACTTGGTTGTATTAGAAAAAGTTATCATATTTATTTGAGAATGGTTCCTGGCTAGTAGACTTGACGATACGATTGATGCAGGGTTAGTGGAAATGGAGATTAAAAATGCGTTTTTAAGTGCCACAATAGATGATCCTGCCATTGCTAAAGTAGATGAAGAAATTATTAGTGACTACCATATTGGTAAGTAGTTTTGTACTTAGTTGTATTAAAAAAAGTTATCATGTTTATTATTGGGATATGTGAAGTGTGATTAATATCTACCATGATGATTTGAAAATGGTCATTAGCTAGTGAGTAGACTTGATGATAAGAATTATGCAGGGGTAATGGAAGTGGAGATTAAAAATGCATCAACAGATAAGAAGGCGTTTTTAAGTGCCACGGGAGATGTTCTTGACATTGCTAAAGCAGATGATGAGGAGATTATACTACTTCAAGCAGAGATATATGAAATGACAACAAAATTAGAGTCGGTAACAAAAAAATTGGATCAACTTAAGCATATTGGTGGGTACCAATTCAGTAAGTTGTTTTATACTCATTTGTATTTGAAAAAGGTTTTAATGCTAGTTATTGGGCATATGGGGTGTGACTAATACGTAACATGATGAGTTGGAAAATTAATATTTTAGGTGTTTTCTTTTGTTATGTTGGTATACTTCTAACAAAACAAAATCATAAATTTTATTACATTCAGTAAAAAAAAATTATAACGAGGAAAACATAGTTTATTCTGAATTTGATTTTCATTTGCAATGACTATCCCCCAACTTAGAGGATTTCACCATCTCTCTTAATCAACCTTTCATAAACTCGCCCGTTTCTCCTCTCTATGACAAAATAGGATGTTTAGTGAAATTTTTGCTTCTCCAAGTTGTGTTATAACAAAAGATGTCAAAATTATTCTTTAATGAAAATATGGCATGCTGAAATATAATGATTTAATACTCTTCGTATAGATATATTTGAGGAGAGCAATTTATAAGTACAGTATATGTGTCTAGTATTTGCTTGGATGTGCGTACAACTCAGTGACATGGACTCTCCTTTTTCACTATAATATATTACATTTACATGCATAGAAATTAAACTTGTCTATGTAAGCATATGTAACTTTTATACACACACATATTCTTCTATCCTTAGATTTGACTTATTCCTTATAGTCCTTTTTGAATTCCCTATAGTAAAAGAGCCCATAATATATGTTTTCTTTCTGTTTTTTTTTGGTCCCCTGAATTCTTAGCATACTTTAAAGCCTCGAATATTGATAGGAATATAAGAAAATGCAATGGGGGAGCAAAGTTTATTTACAGATTGAAGAAAAACAATATATATATATATATATATTGTTAATTAGTCCAGTTTTTGACATTATATGTTACTTCATTAAGATATTAATTTTTAAGGAATTCCACATGGTAAAAAGAACCCTTAATATGAAGAAGCTTTTAGTGTGATTTGGTGTCAGCGCACCAGATTTAATGTGTATAGATCAATCTGGGGGCATATACGTGGGAATATATTGATTTTGCATCAGTTGTACTCGCATAGTTTAGAAATGTGACTATTTTTTCTTTTGTGTCAAAATGCCATACTTTCAATCTTCATCTCTATTGCATTGCAGCATTATTGAATATATACCATCAAGCATTGAAATTCCTAACGATCACATAATTTGACATGGTCTCGCAGCTGGTAGATATGGTTTGTATTTGAGTGTGAGGCCTTCCTAAATTTCAGATCTTAGGACACATGGACTTGAAAATGTTCCAAAACACCAAGCATGATATAGCTAGGTACATGGACACATCTTGCAGGTTTAAAGACATAATATAGTTGTGGAGGGAAAAATCTCCCTCCAATGAGAATAATCCACGTCACCATAAATATAAACTTATCCTTGATGAGTTTATGAAGCCCACCTCGCTCAAACCCAAATTGAGTGTCATACTAGTCCAAGATCACTGTTCACAAGCCCAATACTATTGTTATTAGATCTTCAGCCCTATTGAAGCCCGAATCAAGAGATTATCAGCCCAACATGTCAACATTAAACATCCGGCCCGTTATTCAAGCCCAACTAGTTCAAGGTATATCCAGCCCAGTTTTCCAAGATTGAACAAGTCCTATCGATAGAAGGATTTATCATAAAAGGAGAATTCTTTGATAAGAAGTTCTATACAAAGTAAGTCCTGCGTAGGAAATATTATACAATAGAAAGAACTCTATTTATAAAGAAAGTCATGTATGGGAAGAATTGGAGGACAAGTAATGGGAGTCCTACCTTAATTCTACCAATTTTTGTGTATAAATAGAGGCCCAGACCTCCAATGAAAGGATCCAAGCAATTCTACACTTTTTTATACACCGTTCTTACTTTTTTTTTTATTGTTTTTGAGTGAGTGTTTTATTTTTCTCAATCATTATTAGTTGAGCGAAATTTTGCACCCACAATAGTATATAATAGTGTATTGGTAATGCTATTAATCTTTAAAAGTATACTCATTTATAGTTTAAATTAATTGGAATATGGTCAAAAATAAAAATAAAAATAATGAGAATCCCATTTATCTTAGGAGTAGGAAACGATTTTTGCTCTCAAATTTTATATTTTCTTCTTCTGTTATCACATATAGGGGATTCTAATACCAAATTTTGAGTATGTGTGTCTGACACATCTCTTTCCTTTACCCATGAAATATCTTTTCGTGCAGACAAGAGTACATTTGATGGAAATAGGAGAGTCCGTTTAACATGAGGATAAGGACTTGTACCATTACTCTCATACTTGAGAGAGAGGAAAAAAAAAAAATTAGAACCTCCAACGTCCAACTTGTTATTATATAGAATGCATGCCACTATATTAATCACGTTCTATTCACCATATGTGAGGCACACCTACAATTTATGATTTTCCAAAAATAAACATGAAGTGATATAGTGTCGAATTAATAATGCAAAATTATGTTTTGACTCTATTGATGTTTCTTAGAAGGTATACCTTCATTTGGCACGAAGTTATCTTTATATGTTCTTGACGATTGTGATGAGGTGGCCGAAGAAGACTCCAGTGTGGAAAGTGAAGAGGTTGAAGAAGACTCCAGTGTGGAAAGTGAAGAAGATCAGGAGAGTGATGCTACATTCACCATCTCTGCTAAGCAAGATAAAGCAATAGAGGCAGTCAAGAAAAAACGTGCAGAGCTAGATAAAGAAAAAGAGGCACTCAATAAAAAACTTGCACAGCTAGATAAAGAAAAAAAGGCACTTAAGAAAAAAGGCGCAAGGTTATCTTTGGATGTTCTTGACTACTCTAACGAGGTGGCTGAAGAAAACTATAAGGAGAGTGATGATACATTCACCACCCTTTCTGAGCAAGATCAAGCAATAGAGGCAGTCAAGAAAAAACGTGCACAGCTAGATACAGAAATAAAGAAAAAACGTGCACAGCTAGATAAAGAAATAAAGAAAAAAGGTGCACAGCTAGATAAAGAAATAGAGCCACTCAATAAAATAGGTGCACGGCTAGATGAAGAAATAAGGGCACTCGAGGAAAAATGTGAACGCATTATCTCAAGTATTGTGCGCAAATGAGGAGTCTTCTACTGGTTTCAGCATTGAGTCACTGTGCTAAGGTCTGTGGTGTGATGTTAGAAATGGGACATCTTGGTAGTTTTGTTAAGAAGTTAGATTGTTAGCTTATGGGTACTTTAACAATCAGCATGTAACTTTGGATAGTAAGGCCTTGTGGATCCATAACACCATCTTGACTTGCGCATTTTCACTTTGTGTTTGAGTATGAAATATTGTATATATGTATCACCGGAGGTATCTTTTCCTATTTGTATGTTTTGTGTTTGTGCTATTGATATGAAGATGATGATGCATTTGTCAAAGGCTTAAAGCTAAAAACTTTGTTCTGTTAATCACAACTGTGATTGTGTATGCATCTGTGTGTATTTTTTCTTATTAATTGAATAGATTACTGTTTTTGCACTAATCTGCAAATTATAGTACTTTTTAGCAATAAAATTTCCCTTACAACCCAAGCTTTTTTCCAAGAGAAAAATTGCACCAGGTTTTTATGGCTTAAACGTTTACCTGCACACCATTCCATTATCTCAATTTCTGGTCCATAACTCGTGTATTGGGTTCAACTCGATCTGTTTTACAATTCTTTTTTCCTAAAACTTGTGTTTACATGGCCAAAGCTGGGTAACAGTTTTTTTCTTTTTAATTATTATTTTATGTTACACTTATAAAGCAAAATCCAAATGATGGTTAATAAGGTATAGTAGAGATAACCTAGTGGTTAGAAACCATGGATACAAACACGGAACTATATATATATATATATATATAAAATAACTAAATTTTTTCTAGCTCTCTTTATTTATATGTGCCATAGGCTAAATAAACTGTGTGTACCATAGGCTAACCATACATTTACACTGAGACCTCGTGTGTAAAATGAAAATTTTTAATCTGCATTTACTTTTTTTTTTTGGAACAAATAAAAATAACCATATATATATTGTTGATTGTGTTATAAAATAGGGAACATATATATTTAAAGACTATTATAAAATTCTTTATAAAAATAACTATATATTTTAAAACAAGTTCCAACATGAAAACATTAAACTTAGCTTGATGTAATTGATCTACCTTTCTCTTGGTGGTTTTGGGTCTTTAACTTTCAAATCTTATGTCAAATTTTAAGACTAGTAGAAAAAAAAATGCAAAAATAATATTATATATTAGGTTTACATCTACTCAATGCAGTGCCTTCATTTACTTATAATCATGATTGTGAAAATTCCAAAATTTGTCGAATAAAACCAAATTCACGATGGTGATCCATAGCATGGTGATGTGATGGTGATTAGAAAATTGTCTATATGCAATACATTTTTTAGAAGGTAAATCTTTTTATATGGTGATTCAATATTAAACCTTTGACATTCACCCAAAAAAAAAAAAAACGCCCCTGAATCTAGAGCGGCTTGGCATTCAAACCCAGTTTCAACAATGCACTTCTTGGCTGTGCTACCGGAGGCTCCAGGAAAGTCGGAATAGGAGAGCACTTAAACAAAAACAAAAAAACAAAATAGGTAATTCATTATAGCATAATTAAAAATGGACCAGTAATATAGACAATAATAAAAAAAAAAGTGAAAAATCCGTTGTAATATTTAGGAAAAGAAAGATAATTCATTGTAACGATATAAATGAAAAAACAATTAGAGAAGTAAATAATTCATTCAACGGTTAGACAAGTTTCATCGGTCAGACTCTGTTTTCTAACAGAATTGATCCATGTTGTTATAAAATTAGAGTTTAGACTTCAACTGTATTCAAATAAAATATGAGAGAGAGAGAGAGAGAGAGAGGAGAGTTTTTTTTTTAGGTAAAAGAGAGAGGAGAGTTGCTTCTTCATTTGTTTATCATTTTTCTTGTAAAGTTTAGGGTCTATTTGGTATTGTTTTTTTTTTTTTTTTTGTGTTTTTGTGAGGTAGTGAAAGGTAAAAAAAAAAATATGTATCTAATAAAAAATATTTTGCTTTGTATAATGTGTCGGAGATTTTGGATATTTTTATACAATCTCATTTTTAAGTTTATTCACATAATTATATCAAAATGCATTTTGACTAAAACACTTTTATATTTATATGACAGTGTAATCATACCACAATATATATAGTATAAATAAAACAATATACTAAAATAATAGACTAGTAAAATAACAACAAAACACATATTAAAATTATAGAGAGTATGAAACTTTTGGTCTGTTTAATGGAGAGGCACGCAATACTTGACGACTATGAAATGCTTCAAGATACAACTCCAGTTTGTGTTAGAGTTTTATTGAAACTCTTTAAATATATCATTCTCTAATGTGATAGAGTTTCTGTGACAGAGTTTCATTAAAATTAAAATAGGTAATTTGTGGTAAAATTTTATATGAATTATTTATTTTATATATCCTTATCTAATTAGATTTTTTTTTATTAAAAACCCCATAATAAAAGGTAATTTGTGGTAGAGTTTTAGAAAAATTATTTTATTTTTTATATTAATTATTAAATATTTTTTATATTTTTAACTGTTGTCTAGTTATATTTTCTTCTATTAAAAAACTCATAATAAATAGATAAATAGGTAATTTGTGTTAGAATTTTATATAAACGCTTTTAAAAAATTATTTTATTTTCTTTAAATATATCGTTGTCTAATTTGAATTCAGTTTATTTTCTGTAAAAATATTCATAATAAATACATAAATACATGTTATATGTGATAGAGTTTTATAGAAAATAAAAATATTCATAATAAATAGATAAATACATGTTATATGTGATAGTGTTTTATAGAAAATAAAATAACTAATTTGTGGTAGAGTTTTTATAGAAATTATTTTATTTTGTTTAAATATATTTTTGTCTAATTAAATTTTATTTTATTAAAAAACTCATAATAAATAGATAATGTGATAGAGTTTTATATAAAATAAAACAACCAATTTGTGATAGATTTTAAATATATTTTTTATTTTTTTTAAATATATTCTTGTTTAATTATATTTTCTTTTATTAAAAAAACTCAAAATAAATAGATAAATAGGTAATATGTGTTAGAGTTTTATAAAAAATATTTTAAAAACTCTTTTCATATATTAATAAATATTTTTATATATTAATAATTCTTATCTAATTAGATTACCTTTTATTAAAAAGGTCATAATAAAAGGTAATTTGTGGTACAGTTTTTGAAAAATTATTTTATTTTTTATATCAATTAAAAAATAATTTTTATATTAATAATTCTTATCTAATTAGATTTTCCTACATTAAAAACCTCATAATAAATAAATAAATAAATAGGTAATTTTTGTTAGAGTTTAATAGAAATTCTTTTATATCAATTATTAAATATTTTTTATATTAATAATTCTTTTCTAATTAGATTTCCTTTTTATTAAAAAAAACTCTTAATAAATAAATAAATAGGTAATTTGTGTTAGAGTTTTATAGAAACTCTTTTAAAACCTCTTTTTATATCAATTAATAAATAATTTTTTATATCAATAATACGTGTCTAATTAGATTTTCTATTATTAAAAAACTCATAATAAATAGATAAATAGATAATTTGTGTTAGAGTTTTATAGAAACTCTTTAAACATAATAGAATTTTATTGAAAATAAAATAAGTAATTTGTAATAGAGTTTTATAGAATTTATTTTATTTTCTTTAAATATATCTTTGTCTAATTAGATTTAATTTTAATAAGAAACTCCTAATAAAAGCTAATTTGTAGTAGAGTTTTAGAAAAAATATTTTATTTTATATATCAATTAATAAATATTTTATATTAATAATTCTTGTCAAATTAGATTTCCGTTTATTAAAAAATTCATAATAATAAATAGATAAATAGGTTAATTTAAATTTTATTAGGTAGATTTTAGAATTTTATAGAATTTTTTTTATATAAATTATTTTTTATTAATTAATAAATACTTTTTTATATAAATAAATAAATAATGAAATACTGAAACACTGAACTCTTTACACATTTAATAATATCAATTAATAAATATTTTTTATATTAATAATTCTTTTCTAATTAGATTTTCTTTTATTAAAAAATTCATAAGAATAAATAAATAAATAAGTTAATTTAAATTTTATTATGTAGATTTTAGAGTTTTATAGTGTTTTTATTTAAAAATTATTTTAATATCAATTAATAAATATTTTTTATATAAATAAATAAATACTGAAATACTGAAACATTAAACTATTCACACATTTAATAATATTATTAATAAATATTTTTTATATTTATAATTATTGTCTAATTAAATTTTCTTTTATTAAAAAAATTATAGTAATAAATAGGTAAATAAGTTAATTTAAATTTTATTAGGTAGATTTTAGAGTATTATGAAATTTTTTTTTTATTTATAAAAATTATTTTTATATCAATTAAGAAATATTTTTTTATATAAATAAATAAATAAATACTGAAACACTGAAACTCTTTACAAACTTTGCACGTTAATAATAGTATGGGATAATTTAACTTACCTCCTCTGAAGTTAGGTCTAATTATAGACAGTACCTCTAACGTTTTAAAAATTACACTGACCTCCCCCAACCTGATCGGCATTTTATTCCGGCCATTGACCATGTTGAATGACTACAACACCCTCTAGTATTTTATTAATATCACATAAAGAATATATTTTTTTAAAATTACATATTGTCCCTAATATTTTATTAATATCACATTAAATTATTTTATTATTATTATTATTTTTTTTTTTCCCAAAAGTAAAGTATATTAAATTATTTTTTCTAAATCACAATCAAGGTCAAATAAATATATATATATAATTTTAGGGCAAATCATTTCAGCCTCCCCAGTCGCCTCCGTCTCTACTCTCGTTCTCAACTCTGAACTTGCCCCTCTCTCTGCTTTTGTGTAGGGTTTCAAAACTCATTAGTTTAAGAATGAGGCTCGCTACTCAGAGAGATGGGGGAGTTTCAAAGGGTGGTTGCCCCTCTCTGTCAAATGGATTATCCCTGATCTATATATCAATCAAAGGTTGGACGGAGACAGGGTGTCATCGCTTTGAAACGCCTTAGAAGACATGCCGGGATCGGACTTCTTCTCCACATGGGATTTCATGGCGGAGCCCTGCGACTTCGCCGGCGTGTATTGCGACGGAGACAGGGTCATCGCTTTGAATCTCGGTGACCCGAGGGCCGGTTCGCCTGGTCTGACCGGACGCCTGTATCCTGCAATCGGAAAACTCTCCACTCTCGTCAAGTTCACCTTTGTCCCGGGTCGGATCATTGGCGCTCTGCCTGAAACTTTATCTCAATTGAACAACCTACTGTTTCTCGCCGTCAGCAGGAATTTCATCTCCGGTGGGATTCCGGCAACTCTATATCAGCTTCGTGCTCTACGAACCCTCGATCTCAGTTATAATCAAATCAATGGAAGTATTCCTCAGTCGGTCGCAGGTCCACCGGCGTTGTCAAACGTCATTCTCGGTCACAATCGTCTCTCCTGTTCGGTCCCGACGTTCGCGTCACAAACCCTAACCCGCCTTGACCTCAAGCACAACGCACTCTCCAGTTCTCTCTCACCCACTTCACTCCCTCCTTCACTACAGTACCTTTCATTGTCTTGGAACCAATTAATCGGACCCGTGGATCGGCTCTCAACCTAGCTTAACCAGTTGAAGTATCTCTACCTGAGCCTGAACACGGTAACATTCCCTTTCTTTGTCTTCGAAAAGATGAAGATGAGTTCTAAGGGTTTTTTTTTTTTTTTTTTCCCTGGGTATATAAGTTATTTTAATACAAAATTAAGGGCTAAAATATCTTTACAAATATAATAAGGGCAAATGTGGTATTACATAGTTAAAAATAGCTGATGTGATTAAAAGTGTTGACTTTCACCAGATGGGATAAGTGTCGAACCTTAACTTTAAGGGAGGACAGTGTAATTTTTGAAATATAAGGAGGGAGGACAGTGTAATTTTTGAAATATAAGAAGGTAAGTAAAATTATTCCATAATAATATAGATATAAATATAGATATAGATAAGTTAATCATGGATTATTTTATTAAAACCTCTAGCTAATATACACTATCATTGTCAAAACCCTTTTCATATTTACTCATTCCTCTTTAATTAATCGTAAAATGAAAATTTAAAAACTTTTTACTATAAAAACTTAAGATAAAGTCCAAATGTATATAGTGGGCAAAAATCTAAACATAATATTTTTTGATTTTAAAGTAAAAGATAGATGGTAGTGTTCTAATCGCTGGATTGGATTTTGGGTAAAATGGATCCAAAATAAGGACCAAATGGCCGGATCAACGTAAGAAACAGTAATGGTTCGGGTCGGATCAGCCCACACCTATTTCGTTGGGCATTGGTTCCAAAATCTTCTCCTCCGAGACCTGCGCTAGGGTTTTTTTTTTCCTTTGGTAGAAGACGGAAAGAAGAGAAATTTGGTGAGAGAGAAAGAGGAATTAGTTGTGGTGTTGAGAGAGAGAGAGAGGAATTAGTTATGTTGTTGTGATTTTGAGTTGAATCGAGAAATCTGAGAATTGATTGAAATATAGGAAGCAAGCAAGCAAGGAAGTAAAAAATGAGGCCGATATTGATGAAAGGGCACGAGAGGCCACTGACATTCTTGAAGTACAACCGAGACGGAGACCTCCTTTTCTCTTGTGCTAAGGACCACACTCCCACCGTCTGGTTCGCCGACAACGGCGAGCGTTTGGGCACCTACCGTGGTCATAATGGTGCTGTTTGGTGCTGCGATGTTTCAAGCAAGTCCCTTTCCCTTTTTTTCTCTCTCTCACTCTCTGTCTCTCTATATTTATATATACTGTATATATATCACTTTGTTTTGAGCTCTCGAACTCTAAATAGATCTCTCTGACTAGAATCGAGAACTAATCTAGACTGTCTGTCCATATATATATATATATATATATATATATATATTTGTTTTACATGTATAGAGAAGGAGATTTAGGTGAGGTTCATCTGTCAGTGAAGTATGACTTCAGCAGAAGCTAGATAGAGATGCAGAAAAGTCGGACAGATTCTAAGAGAATTGGACTTATTTTGTCATATATATTGTGTGTGTAAATTGCACTGAACAAATAGATTATTGTATGATGTTCAGGGGATTCGTCACGGCTAATTACTGGAAGTGCGGATCAAACAGCAAAGCTCTGGAGTGTTGAAACTGGGGCACAGTTGTACTCCTTTAATTTCGACTCCCCTGCTAGAGCTGTGGACTTGGCAGTTGGCGATAAGCTTGTTGTGATCACTACTGACCCATTTATGGAATTGACTTCTGCAATTCATGTCAAACGCATCGTTACAGATCCCAGTGAACGTAAGTTTCTTCTTCTGTTTTTGTTTTTTGTATTGATAATTTAATCGGGTATGATTTCATGATTGTCCTTTTATAAGGATTTGGATCTCCTAGTTGGAGTTTGAGCTTTGTAATTTGTAGCTCTTTTTTAGATTTGTTTTTTATAGCTTGTTTTCTGTTTTTGAAAATTAGATATACAAAAAACTGAAGAAAATGTTTGTTTGTGCAGTTTTTGATAGAATGACTAGAAGGCCCATAAAGAAAAATGCTTGTACAAAAACATGCTATTAAAAGTGGAAAACAATATGCAAAATGCCATAGGCCTTGAGAGTAATTTTATGATTTTAAAAACAGGACACAGGAAAGGTGAACTTGTTACTGGAAATGTATAACATTTTGTTGTTGACGAATTACATTGCTTCTGTTAGTTTGCTTGATAGCAGTCACTTGTCTAGCTCTTTTATATTTTTGGCGTTGTCTCTTGAATTGAATTTTTTTACCAGTAAGAAGAATTTGGTAGGCATACTCTTATGCTGATTTTCAGTCTCTTAGGTTTGCTCTTAAATTTGATAGAGCGTCATAGTCATCAGTATTTTTATTTTATCATTTGTGATGTATTTGTTGGAGCACAACTCATATGTTGTTCCTTGCTTGTGCTGGGCAACTGAAGAGAATTGTTTCCCGCCCCTAGCATTTGGACACATCAGTTAAAAAAACCTGTTTCCTGACATACCATGTAATATGAGGGAATTAGTTTTTATTCAATATACCCCTTTTTGAGTTGATAAAACAGCATTTAGGAAGTGTAAAATAATTGGATTCTTATAAAGTTTCTAACTCAATTTTTAAATCCTGAAAAACAGCATCAGTGTGTGTGATGTCACATTCGGTTACCTTATGAGGACTTCAAAATTACCCTGGAAGTGGAGTTTGTTCTCGTGGAACACAGAATCTGGAGGAAGTGGGTTGATGCTATTAGATCAGGCTGTGTTTGAATTGTATTTCAGGTAGCATTGTAAAAATTTGTGTTATATCAGAAGTAGAGGCATTAAAATTTGGCCTATTTCTTAGAATTTGACATACAAAAAGTGGAATTAGGTCTCTCTTTATTTTGAAGAAGTTTTTAAAGTTATTGTTGACACTTGACAGAGTATGTCTCTTCTCCTACAAGCATTTATGCATACTTCCATTAACCTATCTGGCTTGATGCAGGAGCAAATAGCTCTAAAATCAACTCGATGTAGAATTAGAAAGAAAGAAGGCCATTGAGAAGTCAGAAGATGAGATGAGGTTAGTACAAAGGTATGAGAAGCGGATGAGAAACATCTAAAGATGGACCTAGATTGTCAAGACTCGCCCCACACTGTATAGATGTTTGTTTGCTTTGCACCCTCTCTGTGCTCACAATTTTCGAAAAGCGTATACCCAGTTAGAAGGCATTGCCCGTTATAAGTGATTTAGAGCCCCCCCAACACACACCCAAAAAAAAAAAGGTGATGTGGGACGTCACAATCACCCCCTCCTGGTTACTAGCGTCTTCGCTAACCATACCACTCTCATGGGCTTGTGCACGCTCTCCTCATTTTCGGCTGAGGGCTGAGGATTGGCTCTGATACCATCTATCAGGAATCGCCCCACACTGTGTAAATATTGTCTGCTTTGCACCCTCTTTGTGCTCACGGGTAGGAAGTTTTTTAACTTTATAAGTGCCAAGAACTTCTTCCTCCCCAAGCGATGTGGGACGTGATATAGTCAGACTTAGGGTTGGGTAGAACAAGAAGAGACGCAGAAACAGAGAAACACTGAAATCTTAATAACCAGTGTGAACCCAAAACTGCTGAATATAAGTACATATATATAGGCAACCCAAAGAAACGCTAAAGAAATAGTGCTAAAATAAGTCCGAAGAGAAATCAGAAAAATCCCCAAAGGTACAAATACATTAAATAATTTTAACATATTCTCTATGCCTATGCTTAAAGTAAGTCCGTATGACTGACACGAGGTGAGTGGGGCCCAATATGATCGGCATCATGGCTTTTCCCAAGTAGCAAGTGTGAACGGATTATTTGTATTATGTGTAGTATTTGAAGGTACAACTTTTTTAATAAATACATTCTACTCATGTCAATGGATCTGTTCAAGGATTCCGTCAAAAGGCACCAACACAACTTTTTTACTATCAAATGCTATATAGAATATTTAAACATGCCCTAGCGTAGTATAGGCACCCATGTAATTCTGAAGCAGTTAACGAAGTACTTAGCTGTATAGTGCTTGGGAATCAAATTCGAGGAGCAAAAAGCTGCTGAATTTCCATGGTGATATTGAGATGTTAAAACTTATTGATTGAAGATGTTTTTCTTATCAACTTCGTTCCCTATCCTTTATGTATTCCTATGACTTGCCCACTGTCAAGATCATTTGTTCTTTATTTATTCTTTTTTATGCTCCATCTCAAGATTCTTGATGGAAGGTGTTGTGGGCAACAGATACATAGCATGTTTAGCAATGTTTTCTGATGAATTTCTTAGTCCTGAGTTATTCTGGGTGCTGGGGAAGAGTCCGAAATATGCAGTTTCTGGGTGTGTGGATGGGGCCAAACTAATAATATGAAATTGAAGTTTGAAGAAGTTATAATTATTTGTGATCATTTTTCTTTAGAATAAAATTCTTAATTATTTTCTGACAAACTATAGATAGGTAAAAGGCTTAGAGTAGGAATTTGAAGCAATGTGGATTGGTGATTCTGAACAATTTAAAAAACTGAGTAATTGGTATTAGAGGATTGTTATATTTAGATTATAGGGCAGGAGAGTTTCCTAGAGCTTTTCATTCATGACTGTGGGCTGTTGGAGGTAGTACTCATGTAGTTGCATTATGGATAGCATTTATGATAAATTAATTGAAGTAATGATTATGATAGACTTATATGATATTCTCACTGACTTTGTTTTTATTGTTTATGCCTATTGAGCCATTTTTTACTATTCAACCAGTTACTACCGCCCTTCAGTACTTCATTTTGTTCCTTGCATTGAGTATCTAAATTCTAAGCCATGCTACATTACATAAAAGCGTCAGACATACAAACACTTTGCTTCCAATGCTGGGATCGTGTTTGCTCAACAAATAAGTGTTGTGCCAAACTTGTTAAATTGTCAGTGGTTTTGTTTTGCAGAGACTGGTGAATCTGTGCTCATACTCAAAGGACCTCAGGGAAGAATAAATAGAGCTGTGTGGGGCCCGCTGAATGACACTATTATAAGTGCTGGTGAAGATGCTGTAATTCGTATATGGGATTCTGAGGTAAGTGACTGCAATTTACATGTTCTCTTGTTATTTTTACATAATTAAGTTGTGTGAACAGATTGAAATCTTGCTAGGATTTTCCTGCGCATCGTTGTTTTAAAATTCTTTATTTTACTGTTGGGCATTTGTTTCTCCACTTAGTTGTTCATTTCATTCCAAAAGTTCATTTTGAGGTTTGAAGTTGAAGTTTTGCATTTTATTTCTCAAACTGACAGACTGGGAAATTGCTTAAAGAGTCTGACAAGGAAACGGGTCATAAAAAGACGATTACATCACTTTCAAAATCTGCAGATTGTTCACACTTCCTCACTGGTTCCCTAGATAAATCTGCTAAGGTATACTAACTCATAACTCTTTTTCTGAAATTTCCCTATCTTCCCTTTGCTTCTCTACCATGTGTCTGTTATCCTTTCTTAATGGATCATCTGTGCAAATTTGTTAGCTTTGGGACATCAGATCATTGACACTTGTCAAGACCTATGTGACAGAACGCCCAGTCAATGCGGTAGCTATGTCTCCACTTCTTGATCATGTATGTACACATGAAACTCTAATCCTCAAGTGTGATTGTTATTTTTTCTTGATGCTACAATTTTCTGCGCATTAGCTTATTAATGTGTCTTTCTCAGTGGATTCAAAGTATTATATTTTGTTTTTGCTTCTTTTCATTTGCAGTTGATTTTTAGTAAATTAGAACCTCATTACTGCCACATCTCCTTAGTTTGTATAACAAGTTATTCCTTGGATAAAGAAGTCCAGGAAGTTTGTATCTGCTGTGTGGAATTGGTGCTTGCCTAGTCTGAATGGTTCACACTATGTTTTATAGCTTGTACCATTTGGAAGGTTGAAAATGAGCAATGTGAAAAATTATCTAGGAAAAATAAATCCAAAAAGGACAAGATCAGTTGAAAATGGATAGAAATTTGGACATGAGAAACTACTAGTGCATAAATACTCATTTCAACTCAACAGTCTTTTTACCTTTTCCCAACTATTTGGGGTTAACTACGTCAGTCTTGTTTTGCTATACTACTCTATCTAAGCCCATAGTCTCAATTATACCACATGTAAAAGAATCACATTACTTTTCCTAACTAGTGCAGTTATTGGCCATCGCTTCGGTGCTATTTGATAAAACTAAAAATTAAGTACTGAAAATTTTAAGATCTGAATTTTAAGTACTGAAGTTTTTAAGTGGTAATTAAAAAATAAATATTTTTTGATATTTTTTTGAATTTTCAGCGATCAGCATTCAATGATAAGTGATGTCCTCGACACTTAAAATTTTACCCCCATTTTAAGTGGCGCTTACCATTTTCAGCGTTATTCAAAGTGCGTTATCAAACACACTTAATTGGATAAGCGCTTAATACATTCAGAATTAAGCGCTGAATTGAGTAATCAAACAGCACATTCATTAGACTAAACCATCTTAATCAATTCTCTCATTTGATCTCTAATTCATGCTATTTTAATTATCTTATGAATGTGTTCATTTCTATTTTTATTCATTAGACTAAACCATCTTAATCAATTCTCTCATTTGATCTCTAATTCATGCTATTTTAATTATCTTATGAATGTGTTCATTTCTATTTTTATTCTTTTTTGTGTTGCCACACTTTTATCTTGACATTACATTTCTACCGCACTCATTACAGATACGCTTTCTTTTAGCAGCCTATCATTCTGTACCATAAAGTCTGAGTCGTCTGACTGGTCCAATAATTGTTTTACAAAATTCAACTTTCAAGTTAGAGGTATAGAGGCCGATAACAGAATATGACAGAAGCATTACTCTTTCTGATCCATCCCGCTTTAATTCTTTGGTTAGCATTGTCTGCAATTTCTCCCTCTGAGCATAATCGGGATGTAGGTAATGAAATTAATGATAGCTGTCCGGTAGCTCTTGACCCTCAAGCTTCACTACATCCATACTTGTATTTCTAGTTTTATTAAGTTCCATTTCATATATTCAGTTTCTTTCATATATTCTAATATAATCAGTTTTAGTCCTACTTATCTTAAACCTTCTTGTTTCTAGTCTCTCCAAACCTCTTGTTTAACACTTATACTCTGCTTTGGTAATTTATCAATAACTAAAGTCCAAGGCAAAAAGTTATGGGCTTAACATTGATCCTTAGTGTAAACCTGTGGTAATTAAGAATTCACTGGTTTCTCTTGCACTTGTTATTAGTATGGTCATTGTTTCATCATACATGCCCTTTAGCACATCAATGTATCTATTATTAATTCATTTCTTATCAATTATCAAAAAAAAAAAAAGGAAGAACAAGAAAAAGTAGTAACTCTATTCTCATCTAAAACCCACCATATAATATTCTTAGGAATTCTATTACTGGGTTAATCCAAATCTATAAATGTGGCACGGTAATTTTTAAGAAGTAATTGCGGAGTTTGTTTATCTTATTGTTGATGGAGTAAATTATAAAGTTTATGCAGCTTAAAAATATGTGTTCTGTAGAAGGTACAAGAAGAGGAACTTATTGTGATCCCGACTCATGAAGAGGAACTTTTTGCCAACTTGCCATGAGCAGTTGGGAAAGTGCTCATGACAGTTGACGAAGTGTTCCTCCGAAATTGTTGAAGAAACAAGAAGATCCAAAAATATGAACAATTTCCCAATGAGGAATCAAATGGTTTGGAGAGCAGCGGGTTTCTTCTTTCAAGGGTGTCAAATTTTAAATATCAAGACTGGCAAAGGTCATTGCATGAACTACGTTGCAAACTTGCAACAATATCAGAAACAGTATTGGCTTTCATTGCTCAAAATGGGGGGAGAGAAAAAGAAGAAGATAGAAGACAAACTTTTACGGCCAACAGGGGACATAAAGGATTGAGTATGACAAACTAACAGAGAAAGATAGTTGAGTGGCTGCTTATACAGAGGAGTCGATCTTTTACACTTTTGTCCCCATGTGGGTCCACTAGCATCAGGAATTTTTGCAACTTTTCTACGAAATGGCTCTGTATAGCCAAATGATGTAATCAATGGAACTTCACAGTATGGTTTAAACTCATATCTATCTACAATAACTTTAGATAAATTAATAAAGGATACAAGGAGAAATTTCTTGATGCATATTATTGCCAATGACATAGTACTATTAGATAGTTCTGAGGAAGCCCTAACAATAAAATTATTTGCCGATGGCATAGCACACATACTCCCTCTTACTTGCCTACTCATGTATCTAAGCAAGAATTATAGGGTAGGGTCAGGGTTCGTTATAATCATTTGCTGCTGGGGTGCTGGTAATTGTGGCACATAGAGTCGTTAATAGAGGTTGATTTCACTGGTTGAGGAGGATGGTTGGTGCGGATTGAATATTAGGATCTGACTTATCTTGAATCGGATTTGGAGCATGGGCTACAATCAGATTCTTCTTCTTCTTCTTACTCTTGCGTGTCATCATGTATCTGATTTTTAAAATATTATGAAAAGACCGGAAAGGTTTAGTTTGTTTTTATCACACGTTCTCTTTCTCTCTCTCTATATATATATATCACTCTCTCTATATATTTATACACACGTATACATATACATATCACACTCTCTCTGCCTCCTTGTCTCTCACATCTCATCATGTATCTGATTTTAAAAAATTAACAAAAGACTGGACATGTTTAGCATGGTTCTCACATTAGGGTTTTCCCTGACAAGTGTCTGTGGTCAAGTATCAGTGCCTCCTAGAATAAAATATCATTTTTTAGCTTCGCTTATCATTGGATGTGATATTATGTATGAAATTTGCTCCGCTTGGAATAATTGACAAAATAATATCAGTCTTATCAGTAATTTGCTCAATTTGAGCTAGTTCATGTGTGCAAGTGGTGTTGATGTAACTCATTGGATGATGTACATTAAACATAAGGAGTTATTCACGGGTACCATTTTCTATGCAAATTTCTGTTATAAATTTTTATTCAAGTTTTGTAAAATTGGATGCCTTTTATGCTTCCCAGGTGGTGCTTGGAGGTGGTCAAGATGCATCGGCTGTCACTACAACAGATCATCGGGCTGGGAAGTTTGAGGCCAAATTCTTTGAAAAGGTAAAAGCATATATGCTCATCTATGATTCTGGTTGATACACAGCTATGTGGCAGTAAAACCTCTTCAATGAACTAATTTCTTTCTCCTGTTACATTTAGATTCTGCACGAGGAACTAGGAGGCGTGAAGGGGCACTTTGGACCAATAAATGCTTTAGCATTCAACCCTGATGGAAAAAGGTATTGTTTAGTTTGTTATTATTGCACTATTTTTTATTTTAAAACTGAAGTAATCATAAGAAAAACCTCTATATTGAGCTTAATTCAAACACATTATCAAGGTGTGACAGCTTCTCCGTACTCATGTTTGGATGCTTATTTGGCATTTTTCTTTTTATAAAAACAAAAATATGCATTTTTTAACTTGACTTGAATTTTGCATTTCCGTAATATTCTTATTGTTATCTTATAAATGTGCTTTTATATGTATTTGTTCTATATTATGTTATATTTCAACAACTTATCCACGTCTCTATAAGCGTGTTTGTTAAATGAGGAGCACTGTTTTCAGATGTGACTTTTCAAGGTTCCAAAATTTTACTATTTGATCAAAATCAAAAGAGAAAGAGAGAGAGCAAAAGCGTATTCTGTGTGTATATAAAAACAACTTTCAAAACCTAATAAGCCTATGTAGGCTTATATATGTTACAAGGTTTACATAATAACACAAACAGCCTATTAACTAAACATAATTACATAACGACCCATTATTATATATATAACTTCTAACACTCCCCCTCAAGCTGGAGAATATATATCAAATAATCCCAGCTTGGAACAGATAGTTCTTAATCGATTATGACCCAATGCTTTGGTAAACATATCAGCTAATTGATCTTCAGACTTCACAAATGGAGTAGAGATGCTCCCACGTAATATTTTTCTCGAATAAAGTGACAATCAACTTCAATATGTTTGGTCCTCTCATGAAATACAGGATTTGATGCAATGTGAACTGCTGCTTGATTATCACAGAACAATGGAGTAGGAGCTTCAACTGTCAACTCAAGTTCTTTTAGAAAATGTTGTATCCATGTCAACTCACTAGTGGTATGGGCCATTGCCCTATACTCAGTTTCAGCACTAGATCGAGCTACCACCGTTTGCTTTTTACTTCGCCATGTAACTAGATTTCCTCCTACAAATATTCAGTAGCCGGTAGTAGATCTCCTATCTGAAGGAGAACCGGCCCAGTCGGCATCTGTAAAACCTTCCACCCTGAGATGACCATTTGGTTTATATAGTAACCCAAAACCTGGAGCTTGCTTGAGATATCGGAGAATCCGAAGAACAGCAATCCAGTGTGGCATTCTAGGGGCGCCTATGAACTGACTTACAACACTAACAGCATATGAAATATCAGGTCGAGTGATAGTGAGATAAATTAATTTCCCAACAAGGCGACGAAATCTACCCGGGTCACTAAATAGATCACCCACATCAGCTACAAGTTTTGTATTTGAATCCATAGGAGTATCAACCGGACGACCACCTAACATACCTGTTTCTTCTAATAAGTCCAACACATACTTTCGTTGGGATAAACTTATACCTGTCTTGGATCTAGCTATTTCAATACCCAAGAAATACCTAAGTTTACCCCAAGTCTTTAGTGTGGAATTGATATTGCATAAACAACTTCAATTTAGCAATGCTTTCAGAATCATCACCTGTGATCACAATATCATCAACATACACCACAAGAATTATGAAACTAGCTTTAGTGCGCTGGTGAAATACTGAATGGTCAGTCTGACACCTCTAAAGACCAAACTTTAATGCCGCCTCGAGAATTTTCCAAACCAAGCCCGTGGAGATTGTTTCAAGCCATATAGGGCCTTTTGAAGGCGACAAACAGTGTGAAGATACTCCCCCTGAGCAACAAACCCTTGTGGTTGCTCCATATAAATCTTTTCTGCTAAGTCACCATGCAAAAAGGCATTTTTAACGTCTAACTGAAACAGAGGCCAATGTCTATTAGCAGCAAGAGAAATCAAAACACGAATAGAGGAAATCTTAGCAATAGGTGCAAACGTCTCATCATAGTCAATACCATAAGTCTGGGTATAACCTTTGGCAACAAGATGGGCTTTTAAACGCTCAACGGACCCATCCGGAAGATACTTCATAGTATATACCCAGCGACAACCAACAGGTTTGACACCTGGAGGTAATGGAACAAGAGTCCACGTGCCATTCGTATGCAAAGCATCCATTTCATCCTGCATTGCTTTCCTCCAACCCGAATCAGACAAAGCATCCTGCACAGTCTTATGAACAAATGTAGTAGACAACTGAGAGGAAAAACATGAGAATGATGATGACAAGGAATTATAAGAAACATAATGAGCAATGGGATGTTTAGTAGCACACGAGCGAGGAGCTTTACGAAGTGCAATCGGCAAGGAATCAGACACAGTGGAATTTGTCGGATCCAAAGACTCCGAAGATGATGGAGGAGGCACGACAGCAAATGGCTTTGGTCTTCGAGTGTGCACCTGTAACGGGGCAGATGAAGGAACCAGAGATTGAGATTGAAGAGAAGGTGAGGGAAGAGGAACTGCAGAAGGAGGTGACTCAAGATTGATATCAAGAAGTGAATCAGTATCTGAAAAATACGGGATGGACTCAAAAAATGTGACATCCGCGCTAATAAAGTACCGTTAAGAAACAGGACTATAGCAGCGATAACCTTTATGAGAGCGAGAGTAGCCAAGAAATACACACTTTGTGGCACGTGGGTCTAGTTTATCAAACCAGGACCAAGATTGTGGACATAACATACACATCCAAAAACCTTAGGAGGAAGAGAAAACAAGGGAGAATTAGGAAATAAAATAGAATGTGGAGATTTGCCATTTAATACAGATGACGGCATACAGTTAATAAGATGACAGGCTGTAAGAACAGCATCACCCCAAAACCGTTTAGGCATACGCATATGAAACAAAAGAGCACGAGTTACTTCTAAGAGATGTCGATTCTTACGTTCTGCAACTCCATTTTGTTGTGGAGTATAAACACATGAATTTTGATGAATAATTCCTTTATCACTAAGATATGTATCAAAGGGAGTTGAAGAATATTCCTTAGCATTATCAGAACGTAGAATACGAATTGGACATCCAGACTGAGTTTTGATTTCTTTGCGAAATTTTTGAAAAATTAAAAATAACTCAGAACGATCTTTCATTAGAAACAACCAAGTCAGGCGAGAATAATCATCCACAAATGTCACAAAATAATGAAATTTATTGATTGAAGAATGTTTTATTGGACCCCATACATCTGAATGAACCAAATGAAAAGGACTAGAAACACGATTATTAACCCTAGACTTGAAAGACACGCAATGGTGCTTACTAAGTTGACAAACTTCACAGGACAAGAATTTCAAATAACTAAGACTAGGAACTTGACGTTTCAAAACTTGAAGTGACAGGTGACCAAGGCGACAGTGCCACTGGAATGGAGACAGAGAAGACTGAAGAGCCACAGGAGAAGGTTCGAAATCAAAATAATATAAGCCACCAGCTTCATACCCCGTACCAATCTTCTTCTTCGTCTTGAGATCCTAAAACACACAAGAAGTAGGATCAAATATAACAGAGCACTGGAGAGATTTAGTAAGCTTACTGATAGACATTAAGTAAAAAGGAAACTGCGGAACATGTAAAACAGACGAGAGAGACAATGAATCACTAAGTTGAGTTGTCCCCAAACCTGAAACCTGAATGGATGAACCATTAGCAAGAGTAACACTTTGAGAAGTAGGTACAGAATGAAAATCAGATAGAAGAGAAGAACATCCGGTCATATGATCAGATGCTCCAGTGTCTATGATCCAAGGACTGCGAGTGGAAGACAATAGACATGTGTGTGCAATACCTGACTGGGCAAAGGTAGCCGTGGAAGATGAATTAGATGCTTGCTTATAAGACAAAAACTGAGTATACTTATCCCGTGGAACATGAACTGTATCTGATTCAGCTACATTGTGCGATCCAGAAGTGACATCATTCGGAGAAGAGGAAACTTGATTTGCATAACTAGATGATTTCCCATGAAGGTCCCAACAAAAGTTCACAGTATGATTAGAAAGACCACAATGAGTACACTTTCTTAATTCCTTGCCATGGCCACGTCCTCCATGTGAATCACGACCACCACGTGCGGAGCGTCCCCCACGACCTCCACGGTAAGTATTATGTTCACCCTTCGAAACTACCAATGCTGAACGCTCACCACTCTGTCCAGTATTCAAATTTGAGGTATCACTTGCTAGTGTAGCACGCTAAAGTCGAGAAAACACGTCAGCAAGAGATGCAAGTGTTGGACTGCTCATAATCTGTGCACGAAAAGGCTCATATGCTGATGATAAACCAGTAAGAAAACGGACAACATTAAAGTCCGCAAGCTGTTGTTGCATACTACGAACATCAGCAGTAATGGGCTGATACATATTCAACTCTTCACAGACTCCCATAACTTTGAAATAATACTCTTCTATACTTTGAGTACCTTGTTTAAGATTGAAGTACTGTTTACATAGCTCATAAACACGGGTGTATTCTGGCCGAACCTGGAAGCTGGTCTGAAACGGGTCGGATTCTGAAACTGGGCACTGGGTCGGATCCTGAAACTGGGTCGGGCCCTGGTACGGGTTGGATCCTAGGACGGGTCGGATCCTGGAACCGGACCGGATCTGGACTATCCCTGGTTTAGTAAACCGGGATTGGAATAACTATCCCAGGTTTAGCAAACCAAGGTTGGAGTAGCACAACCATGTAGCCAAACACGGGTCTTCTTCTTCACTCCGTCACAAACTCCGGTAAACAATACGGCGGAGGCGACGGCAACCCAACCACAAGCAGCGACCGAATCAACAAGCAGCGGCCGAATCAACTTCTGGCCGAAAACCAATCTCACCTCTGCAAATCGAGACGAAGAAGCTTCTGCTGGCGACGACGAAGAAGGCAGAGACGAAGACCACCAAAGAAGAGTTGCCGGTGACGATGAAGAAGGCAGAAACGACAACGAACACACTTCAGATCTGATTACGGTGAACAAGAAATTGCCGACAGAGACATCAAAACCACAATCACGATTCCGATCGTGATTCAAATCGTGATTCAGATGGTGATTCACCACCAACCCACCTACTAACTCTCACACTCATGATCATTTTGCTCTGATACCATGATCAAAATCAAAAGAGAGAGAGAGAGAGCAAAAGCGTATTCTGTGTGTATATAAAAACAACTTTCAAAACCTAATAAGCCTATGTAGGCTTATATATGTTTCAAGGTTTACATAATAACACAAACAGCCTATTAACTAAACATAATTACATAACGACCCATTATTATATATATAACTTCTAACACTATTAAAGTAAACTGGTGTTTCACTAGGTTAAGAATTAATAGAACATACATGATGGAAGTAGTGGAATTTTGTTTTAATGCAAATCTATAGAAAAAATATATATATTTGTTTTATTAAATATAGACACTTTGTTTAGGTGAGAGGGATAGAGCAAAAAAGTTGGTTTAAATTGGATAAATAAGTAATGGTTCAACTTAACTAAAATGACTGAAGCAAAATGCATGCAACTATGATACAGAGGCTCTCTCGATTTGTTTAAATTGGATAAATAAGTAATGGTTCAACTTAACTAAAATGACTGCAGCAAAATGCATGCAACTATGATACAGAGGCTCTCTCGATTTGTTTTTTCCGTTGGAACAGTGAGTCTAAACTGGTTAGAACGCAAGTAACTGGAACAATGTTAAACTAACATTGTCAATACATGTGAAATACCTGTGTTGAACATGAGACAACATGTATAATATTTATGATACAATGTGTCACAACATGGGTCCCAGGATCAACTCAATGCTGCATTTGGAACATGTGGTCCATCGAGCTCATTTTTGTCATGCAACATCACCCACCTATTCTTCCCATGGGCCCGCTAGAACCCCCATCATGTCATCACAACTCCCTCGCTCGGACCTTTCCCTCCAAACTATCCCCAACCTTGAAAATCACCACAGCCATGAATCAACAGGATCTTTTTTTAGAACCCATTTCTTTGTCAATACTGGCTACCCCTATGCATTCGGTACCTTTTTCCCCTCTGTGGTTCTTCCCTTCATGATTGCTGCATTTCTCACCCTCAACTAATTCTGATCATTGGCATCACATTCCAACTTATTTCCCTTGTTTCTGTAGTAGTCCTAACAATGGCCTGTAGCCTACCTGTTGGGATGTCCTACACTGTTCTACCCAAAAGAGTCCAATCTCCCCATGTCAGTATCTATTTACAGACCATGCTGAGTTGAAAGGTTTATGTTGTTCCGTGTTAGTCTTGAACAAAATAGTGACCTAAAGATCCATTACATCCCTTGCCTTTCGCATGACCAAATCATGCCCACCTCTTCTCCCCAAATTAGGGCTATATGAGATGTCCCTCCTTCCAGAGTCCTAATGTGAATGGTAACATTGCTATATTAATGTGATCGGAACTGGCTACAGAAAATACCCACTACAGAACACATTAAAATGCTGCTATATTAGGTTGTTTGGAATTTTGAAAAGATAACAAACATACAAATATTTGGGGCCTTTGTATCGCGGATATCTTTTTTACATATAATTATTTCTGCTAGGAATCTTCGTTAGATATTTCTGTTCTGTAGCACGGTTTTTGTTCATTTATCTTATTCTGTTGCTTCATTTTTGGTGGTCCAATTTTCTTGTTTTGTTATTTTTTTGAGGCACTTAATACTTGCAATCCTCGTGACTAAAGATAGATTTAGTGGTACATGTATGAGAGTGGGAATACACGGAATTGTCGTTCGTGATTCTAATACACGAGGATAGATGATCTTTATACTCCGAAATCTTCTTAAATTTGACTGTTTTCCTTTGTATTTCTTCTTGTATAGTTTCTCAAGCGGAGGTGAAGATGGTTACGTAAGATTGCACCATTTCGACTCAGATTACTTCAATGTCAGGATTTAGATCCGTTGCCTTACCATTTCGACTCAGATTACTTCAATGTCAGGATTTAGATCCGTTGCCTTCCGTGGGAGAGAACTTCTTTTGTCGGTACTTAAAATTGTAATGTTATTGCTTTCGACCAGGTTTTTTTTCTTCTTATTGGAAGCAACATTATTATGTAGAAGACCATAAAACACCACATTTTGGACTCGACATTATTCTGTAGAAGACTATACAACATTATTTTTTGTAAGCAACATTATTCTGTAGAAGACTATACAACATCACTTTCTATAAGAGAATTCGGATGTAGTTGCTACAACCCTCAACTGATATTATGTATAGTCTATTCCTATTAAAATTCGTTTCGTGTGAAATTTAGGTTGCAGCCAGTCCCATTTGCTTGGAATAAGGGCGAGGATGATCGTGATGTGAAATTTAGGTTCCAAACATGATTCGTTGTATCGTCCGATACGTAATTCTTTTTTAAGTCCGATATGCGATCCGTATCAATCAGTTTACACTGATTTTGTCCGAATTCGTAACACCGCGACAGATATTGTGACTATGAACGATACTGCGGCTTCCAAAGTGTTCTGAAGCGTTTAATCTGTAAACATTCTTGAACTAGGCATTGGATAGAGAAACATGCAAATCACGACCCGTCACGAATTTTTTCAATCCAAAAGAAATGAACTCGAGTAAAGAAATATTTGTCAATGTTCAAATCATGATTGTGCTATGAAAATGTGTGGTTTGGGCGACAATATTCTTTTGAACAGATTTTAAATCAATTCATTTTCATAGCTCAACAAATTGTACCCGAGCGCTACTACAAATTGTGAAATTTGTTTTAGCTATTTCGGTTAATTGGACTCGATATTTCCACGTAATCAAGGAATCGGGCTACAATCTTTTTTCAAACCACCAGGATAACATGAATCATAAAAGGGTAATGAATTATATGAACGAATAATCCGATTATTGTGAGATATCTACAGATTAATTAGGCTAATGCTAGAAAAAAAGAGAAGGCCAGAGTTAACAAAGATTATGACCTTAAATAAATAATAATAATAATAATAATAATAATAAGATCTGATAGAAGTGACTCCAAGTGGTTGTCACTTTATTTTTCGCGCCAAAACTATGGGTGGGATTGAATGGAGTGAGTAATATTGTTAAGCTTTAGGTGTTGGAGCTGGGCTTGGATTCTGAAATTGGGCTGGTACTGCACTTATATCCAAAAAGGGGTGGACTGTTTAGACTTGACTTGGGTTGGGTTTGGACTCATATATAGATACAGGTGGATCCAGATCTGGAATTAAATATCCAACCAACACCTATTATTCTTTAGCAAATTTTTTTTTTTTTTACCTCGTTGCACACACTTGTCTTTTCTGAAGTAAGAGACTGATATCGCTAGGTCATTGGCCCGTTGATCATTCTTTAGCAATTTGTAATAGGATTGCAACTAGGGTAGATTGGAAGTATAACTCAAGCCGACCTAATATTTAAAATGTTCAATCTTAATCCGACCTCCAACCTTAACTATTCAATCCAAGTCCAACTCATCTTTGAATTTGTAAAACTAAAAAGTTGGGTTTAATTCAGCTTATCAATATAAATAATTTTCACAATTTAAAATGATTTAGTTTCATATTAGATTGCTCAAAACCACACCAAAAAAAAAAAAAAAAAAAAATGGAAAAAAAAAAAAACAAAAGAAAAAGAAACTTAATGCAAATTTATAAAAATAAAAAAATTACAAACAAAATCTTAAGAAATTAACTTAATATACAATAAATTGACATTAAAACAAATGAAGTTGAAAAGAGAATAATAATCATTATCTAAATATAATATACAATTATTTAAAATAAAAACATGTGTACAAATAATATTAAAATTTGGATTTGGGTTGGGCTTGGCTTCTGGCACCTTAATCCAACTCAACCTTAATTAAGTTTGGGTTAAGATTTGTTGTCCAAACCCGTGAAAAATCGGGCTGGACTCTGTTTAAGATCGGGTTGGCCAGCCCAATTTGCACACCAGAGTTTTCTTGACGCCAACGACAGCGAGGGTTTCTGAAAATGAAGACGGTGAAGACTACGACTGATCGGCAGTGACTGCTTGATGGTGTGAGGAAAAGTAACTCTCCCTCTCCCTCTCCCTCTCCCTCCTTCGCTCCAACCCTAACCCTGCCTCAACACTACTTTCGTTTATTGTTGAAGAATAAACCCTATCAAGAGACTATTTTTGCTTCGATCAGAATTTTCAGGATTCGTATATAGCTTTTTCATTGAAGGTTAGTATATTCTTTATTTTGATCAGGAACACTTGCTGTATTTTTCATGTGTGCGTGTATATAAGTTTCTTTAATTGTATTGAATTGTACATATATATATGTGTGTGTGTGTGTGTGTAATTATGTATGTATGTATAGTTATATGTTAATTTTCTTCATTTCTAAATAAATATTTGTTCGCCCTTGCTTCTTTACTCTCAAGGTTTAAAGAAAATTCTCTGCCCAAAAGTTACGTTTGGCTTGCTTCTTAGAACCAATGAGTCGAAGAGACATCCATTAAATTGCTTGAATGTCAAAGATTTCACATGTATGTCTGCCCATTAAAATTTATCTAGAAAACTACAAGCGCAGAAAATACCCTAAAGTATAATTCGGCTAGCACTTTTACCCCTATAATTCGGCTAGCACTTATACCCCTATTTATAGGTGTGCAAAAAACATACCTAATCTTTTGACATTGTGCAAAAATATCCCACATTCAGAAATCTTTTGACATTTTCAAAAAAATGTTTAGAGATATATATCTCTAAACATTTTTTTAAAAAATTTTGAGAATTTGTAAAATAAGGATTTAAATTTTTTGAGATTTTAGTTTACTGTTTTCTAGTAATTTTTTTTTTTTTCTTTATTATTATTATTTTTTCATACCAACACTATTAAACAAAAAAAAAAAAAAAAAAAAAAAAAAAAAAAAAAAAAGAAGGGAAAAAACCCCAATATCTGTGTGCACTTGGTTTTCGGAGTTTGGAGTAAATTTGTTTTCTTTAGTTTGCACTTTATTTTCTGTTTTTATTTTCTATTTTTATCTTTATTTTTCTTTTATACTTTTATTTTATTTTTATCTTTACTTGTCCATTGCCCGCGTCCTCCAATAGTGTTATTTTCGGTCATTTGACAGAATTATTTATTTTTATATATTTTATAAAATGACTTAGTAAGGGTAATTTAGTCAACTTATGGTTTAAATTTGTCAGAGGGACCTATTTGCACCAAATTGAAACTTTAGGGGCGTTTTTTGCACGTGAGGGTCGTCCTCCAATGGTGTCCTTTTCGGTCATTTTACAAAATTATTTTTTTTTATATATTTTATAAAATGGTTCAATAAGGGTAATTTAGTCAACTTATGGTTTAAATTTGTAAGAGGGACCTTTTTGCACTAAATTGAAACTTTAGGGGTGTTTTTTGTACGTGAGGGTGTGATATGCACCCCCTAATCATACTTTAGGGGTGTTTTCTGCACTTGACCCGAAATAAATTGTTCTTCGCTTGATTGTTTTCCTTGATTTGCCTAAATCATACACCCAAATCTTTATTTTTTCTCGCCAATTAGATTATAATATTGGTAATATATATAGTAATTTTCAAATTAAAAGTTATTTATAATCTAATTTAACCATTCTTTTCATATTTCTGAATCTAGAGCTCGAGAAATGAATAGAAACTTTTAGTCATTTGCTTATTTGCTAAACTTTTCGGTAGACTTGTTACCAACATATTGAAATGCTGGATTTCATGTATTAGCCAATGCCTGGATTGACCTTGTGAATTGGTGTGCAGTGAACTGGAGAGCTCTCAAAAAATCAAAATCCCTTGATTCTATGTGCTTTTGTTTTGTTTTTTCTTAGTCTTCCGGAATTTATTGCTTGTTTCTATTTCATTTGGCTTGAAATATATAGAAATGCAAGAGCTTTTACGAGTAAAGCTTCTACACCTCAAATTATTGTCAGGCAGATTAAGGACAGAATTAATTAGAAGCAGGTTGGCTTCTATTAGGATCAGTGACACTGAATTATTGGAAAGAATTGAGAAGGATTGGGACATCCGAAGTCTTAGCATTCTGGGCCAAGTGAAATGGGTACTGGTATGAGATGGGTTCTATACTGGTGGTGCTGATTCAGCCTAATCCTGGTCATGTTGCTGGAATTTTTTTCTTCTTGCTTGTTTTGTGCTTGTCATTGTTTGTACTGGCCAGTGGCTTGTCACTCGTTCATTGTTTGTATTTTTTGTTTTGTGGCAGCTGCTAGCTTGGCTTACATGCCAATGTCAATTTGGTAAGCTTTGTTCTTGTAGGCATCTTGGCTTGTTTGTACAGTTTTATTCATCAATAAACTACTTACCTTTTACCCAAAAATAAAAATAAAACAAAAGGCCTATGTCTAATTTCCCTTGGACATCTCAAGATTGCCAGTAAATGCAAGATTAAATGGAAAACCAGTATTGTTATGTGATTTACATCTCTAACATTTGTGTTCCATTTGGGTAATCCTGGAGTGATGGCAAGAAGTCGAATCTTCTCTTTTCAGATTAAAGTTGACTTAAAATTATATGTCTGGTGGGAAATTGTGGTAAGTATTGTGAATGTTTATTTCCATTGACCTAAAAGGGATATAATTTGTATTGTAGCTCATTAATTAAGGTGGTAATGATCTAGAATGAATGGCTGCAAATTTATTGGGTTATGATGGATGGATTTCAAATCTTTCTATATATTATATCCAAATAGTGGATTTCAATATCTTCGAATAAATACTTTATTATCAACATAGAGGATTTTAGAAGCCATGAATTTTATTTCTAGGTATTTAGGATCTTAGTATTTGGAATTAATTCTCGAATCTAAAAACAGACACAAATTCCTAGTTGCAACTATATTGCATATTTTGAACTTACTGTCAGCATGGTTTTAGAACTTTTTAAGATAAACTTAACTTTCTGTTCATCTGTTTGATTGATAGAAGAATGTTGAATAATTCTTAATGACTTGATTTCTTGTATTGCAGTATTGTATTTGGCTATGGAAGCTATGGATAAGGTTGACCACTACCGTGTTTTGGGTTTGCCATCTGGTGAAGAAGGAGCTATGCTTTCAGAGGAAGAGATTAAAAAAGCATATCGATTGAAGGCATTGGAATTGCATCCAGATAAGAGGCGGGATGACCCTGATGCTCACGCCAACTTCCAACAGCTCAATACATCTTATGGAATTCTCAAGGACAAAAATACTAGGAAGCTCTTCGACAATTTTCTCCTGGTCGAGCACGATCTATTTCAGCAAGAACCACAGCACTACAACTACGACGAAAATTCACAATACTACAACTACGACGAAAATCCACAACACTACGACTACGACTACGTCGATTATGAGAATTTACAACATGTTTTTTGCCACATTCAGGTATGAAAAGTTGTAAAAAATCATTTCGCTACCTAGCCAAACTTTATATTGCAGTAGACTAAGAAATAAGTATCAAATAAATGTGTTTACCACATTTTTTCTCTTTTTCATGGCATTGAATTCATGGTGTATTTCCTAATTATAATAAATGAAGAGAGGAAATGGCTCCTGACAGTTAAACTCACGTTTTATTCCATTCACGGAGGAAGTCATGTTTTATTCCATTCGCTCACGACTTCCTCACGAGCACATTCCCTTGTAGTCGATCGTGAGCAAGCAAAACCCTAGCAGTCAATCGATCAAGCATATTATCGATTCGAAACCCTAGCAGCCGTTCTTTCACAGGTGAAATTTCACGAATCTCAAACAAAATCAGGTGATGGCCTTTCATTGTTTGAGATATCAGTGGTTCATTATGTGAATATCAATCTGATTTTCCATTTTTTTGATGGTCAGTCGACTTAGTCTTGGTATCAATTTCATTGTTTTAATTTCTTTGTAGTGTGATTCTCTCTGATCATCAATTTTGAGTCTACTCAGATCATGCGATTCTTGTTGTTTTTATTAAATTGATGATGGAGTGATAGCATGATTTGTTTGATTGATTCTGTCAAATTGATTATGTTTGTTTCAGAAGGGGAAGAAGAGTAAGAGTAGAGATCTAAAGTATGACCTAATTGGTTGGATAATACTTGCTGTTGGAATTGCCGCATGGGTGGGAATAGCGAAGTCTCATGTTCCTTCACCTCCAAGATAAGCAGAGATTTGTCAGGTAGTGAATTGAAATTTGAGACATAGACACGTTCAATTATTCATAGACAGGTTCACCAGTGAATTGAAATTTGAGGCATACATGTTGTATGCCATCAATATCCAATTTTTACTTGGTAATGTTATTGTGGTGCTAGATTGGATATTAAGCTCATCTGTAAGATGAATTCCTGTTTTTTCGTTAGTGGTCTCTTCTTATATGGCAATTTCTGGTTGGTTTGCATCTTTTTAAAGCTATAGTCCATCTCTTTTTTACGATGAGTCCCCTTCTCTCTCCAATCTAGGAGGGGCTCGAATATATGTGATTTAGACTACACAAAAATGATTTTAATTTATGGTGTGTAATCTGAGAAATGAGATTAGTTTGTTTGGAATACCTACTTCTCTTTGAAAAAAAATTTATTTCTTTTTTTATTGGTGGAAAATCTCCCACCAAATTTTGTATGGTAATTGATATGGATCTGTATGATTTCGTTAAATCATTGAAAGTTTAGTAAGGTAAACCTATGAGATATATAAATATAAATATATATATATATAGAAAAACTTAGGAGAGTGAAATTGTTATTCATGTCCAATTAAACCATAGATTTGAAATCTTCCAGATTGGCTGATGTTCTGTTAGTTCTTCCCATTAATGCTGCTACTGTGACCTCTGTGTTCCAGATTTTAAAAAGTTTTGTTTGTCTACAATTCTTTGTTGTTTTCTTAAATAAATAAATGTTATCACAATTTTGATGTTATGCTCTTGGTATATAGTAGGTTCAAATTGGGTTAACTAATTTTGATGTTATGCTTATATTTAAATGTTTCCGTTGATTGTGTTTGCTTTAATTATAGAGGTTGTTTGAAGCATTTGGAATTAGAAAATAACTAAATGTACATGTGTTTATTTTGTTAATGCATATGGACTTTTTTTCTAAGACTAGAATGTTTATCTGGAATTTTTTTTCCCAACTGTATTATGTTGATTTTTGTACTAAATCTCTTATAGCTATTTATTTTTGACCTTTTCTTGGGGTTAGTTGAGTTTTGTGTGCCGCTGTAGTGTGTAGGACTACACTGTTATATTTGTCTCAACTTTATGAGTTAACTAAGAAAAGAATCATCCAAGATTATTGAAAAAGATTGATCCCATGATAATAACATTGTCTTTGAGTGTGCTTTGTGATCTTTAGATGCATTAACCTTGGCTATGGCACATATATTATTTTCTACATATATTCTTTTTATTTGGTTTGACAGGTCTGTTTTCTAGCACTCCTAGATCATGGTGAGTCGAGATATATATAAAATAAATAAATAATTACTCAGCTATTTTATGTAGATGGTGACATTGATCAGGTTATTAGGCAACTTTTCTCGTTCTTTGACCATGTTATTATATGTAGATGCTGACATTGTACTTCTTTGATTGTTTCCCTCCCCTCCCTTCTTTTCCTTAATCTTAGGCAATGAAGTATATATTCTTATCAATACGCAGATGCATCAAGATGATTATGACTTTTTGAGCAAATGAATTCGTTTGTTATACTCTTTCAATTGAGAAGACTTAGCAAGAGTTGACATGGACATTATATGCACGTTAGCAAGTTAATTTAATTAGAAGTTCTTGGAGCCTTCAATACGAGTACTACCACTTGATGTACACTCTCTGATGAACATACATGTACTATTGCCTGATTGGATGACAGATAACATTTTAAGTTTCTTAACATTTCCAGACCCTATTAATGTCAATGCAAAACGTTTACTATACACTATGGAAATTGAGCAATAATTAAGGATTCTTTTTTTTTCCTGAATGGGATATTTTTTTTTAAATTTATAAATAGAAGTACAAATAGTACAATTACAAAAAGGGAGGATAAACCTCCGAGAGAAACAGAAGAATGGACAACAAGTCCATCGACAGCAAAAATAAAAACCAAATCGTAACTAGGAAAACCAGAAAGAAAACCAAAGCCTTCCTAAAATGAAATAAAAGCAAAGGCCATCCTCGAGAAAGAAATTCTGAAAAACCAGACCACAGCAAAATGACTGCAGCGAATTCCAGCAACATAATTAAGGATTCTAAACATCCTTTATGTATTTGTTCCTGACATTTTTTGAGCTTTCACTGATATGTTGCTTCTCCATTGCTTCCATGCGTTTGATTTTGTTGAGCACTCCCTTGGATAAACTTGACCCCTAATATAAATAGCTTGTGTAGTAAACACCCATTAAATATGCCTGCTAGAAGGTAGAAACTAAAGAAGTTCGATTGGTTGATTTATAAAGTATCTTTGCTGCAACAGCCAGCTTGCAGGCTTCACATTTTTAAATACAATTTTTTTATTATTATTATTTAAATCTATGAAAAAATGTAAAACACATCGTTTTTGGATTATGTGCTTGTACTTGTTTAAACTTGTCATGTTAAGACCTGCTTATTTTGAATGCTTCTATTGAGGTTTTCCTGAAATCCGTATCTGTTTTCATGGTTTACAGGTGCTTCATATGAATTTACTACCTTAACTTGCATCCCAATCATGCATTGGGGAGCTGAAATTCAGGTAATATCATCCTTAGTAGATTCAACTCTTATCTTAATTTTTCCTTATTGTAAACCGAAAAAAAAAAAAAAAAAAAAAAAACATTAGCTTAATTTTTCTTTGTATGAATCTTGGTTTTGTATATATATGTATGCACTTTTACTTTTGGCGACCACTGTGATTTCTTGCTATTCCTTTAAGTAGTTTTCTTAATTACTTGAAGAATCATGTTTAAGTTTTAATTTTTTTTTCTGTTTTTGTGTGTCTGCAAGTGTTGAAACTTGAATTGATCATGTTTCATTTCAAAATTTTAGGTGCTATAGTAGTGTGATTATACAGTTTGATTTGGTGTTTTCATGGCTATTAATTTAACGGGTGAATTACTCTGACCTCCCCTGAGTTTTGTCCAAATTACCCATGGATGAAGCTATTGGCAAAATAACTATGACACCCCCTATCAGAGTTGACACCATTAATTCATTTAACAGAAGATGTGAAGGTACCATTTGCCCAAAAAAAAAATTCTAAAAAGCTGATGCATTTGCTGATGTCATCAACATAAACACAAATTATCTTTATACCCTTATAACTAAGATTGCATTAGACCATCAGTTTACTCCCTCGTCTCTCTCTCTCTCTCTCTCTCTCTCTCTCTCTCTCCATCTTCCAACATGACCCCACGATCACTAATTGTTTCTCTATCCCTTTTACCTGATACCAGACATGTGAACTAGAGATTGTTGAATACATTGTTCCCTCTTAACACCAATTTCTGAAAAAGAGAGAGATCGCTAGAGATCGTTGAATACATCGTTCCCTTTTAACACTGATTTTTTAAAAAGTGTGAGATCGTTGAATACATCGTTGAAGGTCTCATCATGAGCCTCACTGTGAAGTTATCACGCAATTGAGCATGAAGGTGAAAACATCAGCAAGCAGGTAAGCCCCTGCATCTTCATATATGTCAAGGTTCAAGATGATGTGGAGTACTGTAAACACGACATACACAAAGAACACAATGATTTATGTGGTTCGGCCAAGCCTACATCCACGATAAAGATGTGACAAAAAAATTTCACTATGCGAAAATTAGGAGATTACAAGTTTCAACCCCCAAACCTAGCTTTCTTCTCTCTCTCTCTCATTCACTCCCCCTTTCTTGCGATTTTCAGTGTAATCTCTTTATTTCACTCCAAACCCTAAACGCTCTTATATCCTTTGACCCCGGGCTAATAACCAAGAAATATGCATTTCTTAACCCTTGTTTCAAGTTTTCCCTCATTGACACGAGCATACACACGACATCCAAATATTCCAAGATTACTGTAACTGGCAGAAGAACCAAACCATACCTCCTCCGGAGTCTTATTGTCGATGGAGACTGGTTCACCAAGTACCAAGTTGTGCTTCATTCCACAACACTTTGTCTAACGCAACATTGGACAACATACACGGTGGTCTCTCCAACAATGTTTTGTTCATTTGTTCTGCAACTCCATTTTGTTATGGAGTATTCCTCACTGTGCAGTGTCTCAATCTCGTGATCCTTCCACAACTCATTAAATTTTTCATCACATATTTCCAAGTTGCCGTATGTCCTCAAATGCTTGACATGCTTTCCAGTCTGCTTCTCAACCAAGGTTTTCCACTTCTTTAATGTGACAAAGGCCTCATTGTTGTGTTTCAGAATATAAACCCAAACTTTTCGAGAAAAGTCACCAATCACTGTCATCGGATAACCACTACCACCATGTGAAGCAAATCGAGAGGACCCCAAAGAACAAAAATTCAAAATGGATATAATCTAGTGTCATCATATAACTATTACCACCATGTGAAGCAACTCGAGAGTGACCCCAAAGATCAAAATGGATATAATCCGATGTGTCTTTGGTCTTTTGGATTCTCGTAATGAACTTCAGTATGCATTTTTTCCTGAAAACACAATGCTCACAGAAATTCAACTTTTCAGTTTTCTGACCACCAAGTAAACCCTGCTTAATTAGAACACCCATCCCCCTCTCACTTATGTGCCCAAGCAGCATATGCCATAATCTGCTAGTATCTGAAACCGGATCTAAGAACGATACTACAGCTGAACCCATGATTGTACTACCCTGCAGCACGTATAAATCATGCTTCTTTAGTCTCTTCATCACCACAAGAGCACCCTTTGACACCCGAATGACTCCACGTCTAGCCTTGTAAGACCCGATGGAATCCAATGTACAAAGTTAGTCATTGTCCTCAATATGCTGTCATACATCTTGATTCGAATTGTACTAATAATTACAACTTTGCATGGCACATTATTCCCCATCAAAACTTTCCCTCCATCAATGGATCGATAAGAGGTAAATCAGTACCTGTTTGGACAAATGTGATACGAGCAACCTGAATCAAGAATCCACTCATCGCCAGACCGACTGGCAGAAATTGTGAAAACATTTTCACCATCTAAATCATTTCCCTTTTGCAACAGACACGTCACTGGCTTCAGAGGATTTTCCCTTTTCCTTCTTACACTCCTAGCAGTCTTTCCCTTTTCCTTATGACAGGTGTAGCATCTCAACACCTTTGTTTTGTTCTTAGACTTAAAACGAGCTCCTAGACCCCCTTCTGATTTGTTCTCCCTCTAATAACCAAGCCCTCTGCTTAACTTTTTGTATTTCCCTTAAACGCCCTCCTCTGCAACTCCTTGGAATTCAGAGTTGCCTTCACGTCTTCCATAGATAACGCAGTTCTGCAATATATTATCGTATCAACAAAGTTCTCATACAAGGGTGGTAGAGAACACAACAAAATAATAGCTTGATCCTTATATAATATTGTCACCTCGTCAAGATAGTATTTCAGAGACGAACCTTCGTGCATCTCAAGAGTAAACAACCGCTTCTTTAGATAAGCGGTGCGCAAGAGATTTCGTCGAACTTGTTCCACGACCCATCCAGCGTAGTCCCTTCCGAAACTTCTTGCAAAACTTCATTACTCAAGCACAACATATCCCTCTTGTGTGCTTTCTCCATAATCTCATCCTTGTCCTTAATCTTTTCTGGTAGTGCATCCTCTCCTTCAGGATAACCCATGTTGATCCAACAATGCCTGCATTCTAACCCACCACAGGTTGAAATTGTTTCTGCCGTTAAACTTTGACCTTTATCATAGCTTTGAACCGAAAGCTCTGATACTAATTTGTTACGTCAAACATTGGGAACCAAGAACATATCAAAAAAAAAAGCAGAAAAGTAAACATGCCACATACAAAGAACACATTGATTTATGTGGTTCAACAAAGCTTATGTCCACACAGTGAAAGTTCACCATGCAATACAAATTTCTGCCCCCAAATCCTATCTCTCTCTCTCTCTTTCCTGTTCTCTTGTTATCCCACTCCAAACCCTAACCACTCTTATATACCGGACTATAAGAGAGTACTAAATAGGGTCCACGATAATGGGTCAAAAAATAAAAAAATAAAAAAATTTACTGGCTTGGGCCCACACAGCCCGTTCACCGGCTCACAACATCACAAAATGTTAGGTTTTTCATAGATCGTAAGGTTCAAGCATATAGGGATTTTGCTACTTGTTTAACGTTTTGAAAGATTGAACTTGGTTTTCATAAGTTAGGGTTTGACAACTTCTGGGCTTTTGCTGTAAGTCGTGAACTTAGGGATACTTAAATTAGGGGTTTTCAATTCTCAAGTGAAATTGGGTATCAAATAATGCAATTGTTGCATACAATTTAGGTTTTGCAAGTTAACTCTCTATCCAGAACATTTTTCTGCTCCATCCACTTCTTGTCTTCTGTATCAGCATATCCTTCTAGATTGTTACCAATAAGCCTGTTTACTCAAACATCGATGTGACCATAACTCATCTGCTACTAGTTTAATTTTCAAACTAATTTTTAATCTTTTGTTTATAGATAATTCCCAACTAATATTCTGTGCGACACCAAGAAGTTCATGCCACAAGTCATATGTTTTGGGTGATTAGTAAATGCAAATTTATGCTGTAAATAGACGTCCCTTTAGTTTCGAATGTTCCCATTCACAAATTTAAGTCCGCATGACATTTGAATGCAGAAGTCCAACATTTTAAGTATTTGAGATTGTTTTATGGTTCTGCAATTATGAACCACCCCAATAGCCTTGAACATTCTACTATGCCCACTGTAATAATCAACAGATCTTCCAAAACTGTAAGTTTGGACTAAAATGGTCTTTTGCTCAAAAAAATGCTAACCTGTCAACTGAATAAGCCCAATTAGTTAGTCAACTAATTCTAAAGAACTGCTTATAATTTAAAAAATCTTCTAATGCATTTAAAATTCTAAGTGGATCCTACTTGTAATACAGTTTACCAATAAATCGCATTCATATGGTTTAGTCGACTTAAACTTTCTGTCTATGTGACATAACTCTTTTGCTTTAATCCCTATATGAGCATGTGTTTTAACCTTTTAACCATAAGATAACACAACTAAATCAGATTTGATGTTCCATCTTCACTTGACCATATTTTTAGCCAACACCTCCCCCATAGGAAGGAAGTGCTGTTTTAGGACGACGTGTTTTTACATGTCTAATCCAATTGCATGCTAGCATTTTCAAATGTATTTTTTTGTATATTTTTGTTACAATTACATTGTTTAATATTTTTTAATTCATTTTAATTGTATTGTGGACTGATGGACGGTATTATTTTGGACAGAAATTTTGGCGGACAGTTGAAGTATTTGAATGTATAGTGGGGAAGTTCAGTGAGCCCATTGTTTTTTGTAATGTGGGCAATGCCCAGTGTGTCTGTATTACAGTAGAATGGGCAATTCGAATAATTTGAAACATGAAAACACTATATACGTTTGGTAGGTGAAATCAATATTCTTATACTTTGAACAGGTGGGTGGTGAATGAATGATCTATTATTAGCCAAGGACTATTGAATGAATGAATGAAAAAGGTTTGCAGATATTCAAGTGATGTGGTAACAACTTACTTTCTAGGTATTTAGCATGTACGTCTTGGTGAGGAAGATATATACTCAATTTCTAGGTATTTGCTTTCTTTATTTTACTGCCTGGAATTTGAATTATTTCTACACTTGGTCTTTCTAATCATCACCATTCTTGATCTGATATGAATGGGTTCGGCAATATGAATTTTTTTTCTTTTCAATCTTTTCTATTACATACCATTTCACTAGCTATATTTAGCTTTTTTAAGTCATTTTTGAAATCACGGAAATATAGCTTGTGAAAACATTTATCTATTTTATTCCCTATAAACAAGTAGGAGCATCCAAATTTAAACATAGCTTGTGAAAACATTTTAGGACTCGTTTGGTTTAGTTCTTTGAAAGCATTTTGAATACTCTCTCTCAGTACACACCATCTACGAGAATGCCAAACACCACATAGTTTCAATCAAGATTATCCCATATACAAAATATTTCCGACCAAATTTGATTTGAAAGCAATGCAATTGTTGTCTAGGGTTGGCTGAGCACAACCTCTAAAGTAAAATTTGGAATGCTTATACCCTTTATCTCACTGAAATTGAAGAGAACAACAACAATCTATCACAAATAAGCAATAAATTCCCAATTGCTTTGATTTAACAGACTCAATATTCTTATATTGGAAGAGAGCAATTCTAGCGTGTTCTGTTCTTTTTTAAAGAATAAATTTGACTTCTTTTGCAACTCAAAAAAATCAATAAGCATAAAAATCTAAAAACAATTATATTTATATAAGTTTAAATGCTTACACGGGAGACAACTAGTGTTGTAGGTAAGAGACAGAGATAACAATAAAAAATAACATGGGATGATGTTTTAAAAAATGACTTTAAAAAGCTAAATATAGTATGCGAGCACTTTTATTCACTACATTGCTACCTCCTAAAGTCACCAATCCACAAAAATCACCAAAGTTACAGAAAATATAAAGTTAAAGGATTTGTTTGGTTTGTAATTTTAAAAATAATTTTTTTTTTATTTTCTGTCCCTGAAAATAAAAAATGTACAAAAACTTTACTTGGTTCAGTTTTTAAATATTGAGAATTTGAGTAAGAGCGGGTGCGAAAACACTCCGCACGCGCTTATAGCGTGAGAGCGAAAAGGATTGTGTCACTTGTGGGCTGTTTGATATATGTTCCATATTATGTTGTTTTGTTCCAACCCTGCTACAGTAGCAATTTTTTTTTGGATCACTTCATGTTTACTGGACTTGTTTTATAGCCAACAGTACCAAAACAAAACCAAAATTTGGGCCAAAATGTGAAACACTATTGACGTGTTATGTTGTTCTGACTACTGTAGCGGAGGCTTCAAGTTGTCAAAAGTTGGAACAAGACACGAGCCGGGATAAAAGGGTAAAGTTGGAACAAAATAGGGTTTCTACGCGCAGCTCTTTATCTTGAAAACGACGACCGATCTGAAGCTCTCTGAAGATCTGAAGTTCTGAAAAACTCCTACAAACCAGGTTTGCCTATTTATGTTCTATGTGTTCTGTTTTTGTTCGATTTCAACATGTGTATAATCAAATATTTTTCGATTTTGTAGTTCGGTTAAACTTAATTGATTTTCTTTGCGAAACCCTAATTTTTCTTTAATTTTTTTTGGAACATCGAACACAAAAGTCTTCCATATTTGTGAGTTTTCTGTTTGAATGGTTTATACTCATCTCTATTTACTTGAATCAGAATGGGTATAAAAAAAAGAAAAGAAAACTGTTTTTGGGCATGTTTGGTTTACTTTTCATAACAGTTTTTTTTTTTTCAATCAGAGAACTGAACAAAAAATTCACTTGATTGACAGTTTTTGAAAATTGTTTTCAACAGTTAAAAAAAAAAGTCCAATTTCAGAGAACTGGATTAAAACAGTTTTTTTTTTTTTTTTTTTTTCCTGAAAACAGATTTTTGAAAATTGTTTTTAAAAAATTGAGCCTATCTGTCTATATTGCATGTTTTAAAATGAAGATAAAAACAGAATTAGTTCATAGCATTTGTAACTAAGGCAATGAAATTAGACCATGTAGATACAGAATCTATAAATTTATAGATTATAGTTTAATCCTTAGGTATAATACCAAGGGATCCATACTCTAATCCCTTGTTCCAAGATAGTCAAGATCCATTTTAAGTTTAATTTGTTACCGTAAGTAAAAGTTACTATTTGCTACGTCGGCAGAAACACTATTTTTACCGTTCTTCGACAAAGTACTATTCATCTACAGTATCCGTGTAAAGTAGAAGACCCTGAATTAAAATCCTCCTATCTTAAAAAAACTTAAGATATTATAGGAAACAAAGAAGCTGAAGCTCCAAAAGTTACTAAGCCAAATTTTAGTTTATATAAAACCCTTGAAAGATTTAATAATCAACCCAGAGAAGTCACCATCCAAGACTTACAAACCGAAATTAATATAATAAAAACTGATATTAAAAATCTTAAGTTGGAAAACCAAGTTCTAACCAATGACATACAAAAACTTAACACAAATCCTGCTTTCTCCTTCAAAGAGAGAGATTCATCATCTGATGAAGAAGGATCTACCCGCTTAAATCCTTCACATCACCTTCAGACCTTGAATAAAATATCATTTCAAAAATGGTATGCTAAGGTTACTCTTATCATCAACAAAGATTTCAAACTTGAAGTCATTGCTTTGATTGACACATGAGTTGATTTTAATTGCATTCAAGAAGGTCTTATACCAACTAAGTATTATGAAAAAACCACTGAACAATTAAGTTCAGCCATATAAAATGTAAGTTGTCTAAGGCTCATATTTGTCAAAACAATGTGTGTTTTAAAACATCAGAGCCATGTTGTCATTGATCTCTTAATCTGTTTATGATTCTTATCTTACTAACTCTACATAAGTCTTACTTGAAGCATTCTATTTCTTGATTTTGATCTGTCATATCTATTTCCTTCCTGTGAGTCTAGATCCAAACAATAAGTCCTAGGAACCAAATAGTAAGTCCCGGTGAAGGGCCTGAGCGGTGTGGCATGAGTAGATGAACGCTTGGATAAGATCTAGATACTAGATTGACAGAATCATGAAAGCAGTCTGTTTCATCAGTAGACCAAACAGGATTAATCTGTGTTAAGTAATCATGAATAGCTTATTCAGATCCACCTCATCGGTGAGTTCTCGATCCAGTTTACCTCCTATTCCTCCAATTATAGTTAATGAAGAAGAATATCGTATAGAAGCTAGTAACCTGGATTTTAGGGATTGGAATATCCCACGAGTCCCAACTAAAGAAATCTATGAAATTAGTTTCCTTAAGTCAACCTTTATTAGTGATTACGCAGTCAAAACAGTAGAACAAATATATGTCTAAAGAACATGAAAAATGCCAGTTACTCACCGTTGAAGCAATCAAAAAACATAGAGAAAGAGGATACAATTTTATTCATATAGGACTAGTTCAAGTAGCAGTTAACCCATTCACAACCAGAGGAATTAATGCCTCTGTTCTATTGGCCCTGAGAGACGCTAGGTTCATTGATTATAACCTCAGCCTCTTAGGAGTAATGGAAAAAAGTCTTTGTAATGGACCAGTTCATTTTAATTGTTACCCAGATTTCACTTTTAGTCTAAGTGATCCCCACCTATTGAAAGCCCTTACTCTCAATATTAAAATATCAGGTTACCCTATTGTCACGGGCTTAGAGTTTCAGCACCACTCTAGCTGCTCCCGTGCGGCACCAAGACGTTGCTTCCACTCTCGCAAGTACTTGGTCAGCCTAACTTCCGTGCACACCTTAGCCAACACACTCCCCTTATGCGCTTACTAGTGTTGTAGTTGCCCTCGCCCTCTCCTCACTTGGCTTGCACACTCACACACACTAAGGCACTTAAGTTGGCAAGGAAAGAACACTTCTATTACTTCAAAGAATGCTTTGTACAAGGCTAGCACTCAAGCTCTTTACAAGGCTCTCAAGACTCACTCTAGGACTTGTCTACAAAATGAACTCCTACCTCTATTTATAGGCATCCCCATCCCTAATGGACGGCTAGGATGCATTTTAACCGATGGTGGAGATCGATTTTCTAGAATCTTCTCCCACCTTCTTCACACTTCCATACTTATCCATAAATATCTACAACATTCTAGAACTCTCCATACTACTCCACACAACTCTGGAGAACTCTAGAACCTTCCACACAATTCTACACATATCTAGAATCTTCCACACAACTCTAGAATACTCCGGAAGACTCTAGAAACTCCCATGCCATGCGTCCTCCTCAGCGTCTGCGTGTCGCCTGTTTGGCACAACCTCTATAGGCGGGGCGTGACACTATGCTTCCTGGATCTCAACCCTTAGGTTTGATTTACATAATTTATTACAAAACAATCAAAACAAATTTAAATATTAAAGCAATTCACAAGGATATGAAAGGTCACACTTTATTAATCCAAAGCAGTACTTCTGATGCTAATATTCAGATAAAAAAAAACAATTGCCTGGAAAGACATTTCGTTACCCAACGAATGGATTCTCCAAAATGAGAATCATCCAGCAAAAATTGATAATGACATAAGTAACCTTGATAGAGTCCAGGAATTCCTTGATGGAACGGTCAGAATAATCTTTGATGCACAGCGTTTTCTGACTAGATCTAGACCCTCTACTTCTTTTCATAGATCAGATAGTAGTTTATTAGGAAAAGAGGCTGAAATTCCTCCCCTACCTAGGAAAAATTCTAATCCACATTCAAAATTAAAAGATATCAAACTAGAAGGTTTAAAGACAGAAGATCAAGTTAATCATCCTTGTTATATATAGGATAATAGGGAATTAAATTCCTCCCCAAGTTCACCTACTCCCACAGATTTTGAGGCACGTCTCAATCCCATTAATCCCCAGTTAACAACTATAAGTAAGCTTTTTTCATATAATCTTCCAAATTACAAAAAGAATATGACTCAAAACATGACAAAGAAAAAAGAAAAACCTTTAATAATAATTACATTGATAAAGAAAAAAATAAAATTCTTCACAAATGGCAAAAATTCATGCTTGAACACAAGTTAGAAGTCTATTTCTTTGATTATTTAGAAAATTATCATAAGAAGGTTAACGTATTAACAAAAATTAATTGGACTAAATCTGATAAAACAACAGTTTCTTCTACTCATCCTCCCTTGGAGTCGGTCATCCTAGATCACATGGGAACCGAAATTATTGCCTCTCCCCTTAAGATCAATAATACCTCTGACCCCGATGTTCGGAAAATAATCGAACAAAACAATTTCACTAATCAATACCTTCACACTATTGGTACACAGTTAGACAAACTTGAAGTAACAATTACCCAGCCAGCTCGTTCTAAAGAATCTTCTCCTCCCATAATAGAAAAACCTCTAATTTCCATGCCTACTCAACGGAAAGGACTTCCCGCAGCTATTCCAGACCCTTCTATTGTTTTCCAAATTGAAACCATTCTCAAGACACTCGAAAAAGGCAAGGCCAAAGTTAAGGATGAAAAATCAGTCACTGTAATACATACCAATACTGATTCTGATCAATCTCCCTCATATTCTACTTATACATCTGAAATCCAAGCGATTGAAAATGCCTTCTCAAATCTAGAACTCAATCGTATTTCTAACAAACGAGTCAACCCTACCAGCCTGACAAAAAACTAGTACCCTCGGCCAACTCTTCTTGATTTACAATATGAGGAAAGATTCATTCAAAATCAATTTTCTGTTTCTTTTGATAAGCTCTATGAGTGGAATATAGATGGTTTATCAGAACAAGAAATCCTTAACAAGTTAAATAATATATTTATGGTGGCTAACAATTGCGTTAGTTCACATGACCTTAGTCAACCAGATATAGTTGATTTACTTACTTCAGGATTTACTGGGATGTTAAAATCTTGGTGGGAAAAAAACCTCACAGAAGACTCCCGTGAAAAAATCAAAAATGTTGTTCAACGTGACAATGATGGCCTTCCCATCTTTGACGACATCGTAGGACGAGGTGTTCCCGACGGAGTCAACACTTATTTTTACCATCGTTGAACATTTCATAGGAACCCCTAGTAACATTACTGCCCGAATACACGACCAACTCAAGGATGTATTCTTATCTTGGGTAATGCTCCGAGACGATAGTAACAAACCATTCTTGAAAGAAAAATTCATTAATGGATTACCAAGTCTCTTTGCCCATAAAATCAGAGAAACCCTTAGTAAAATCACAGGTGTCATAGATTATGATAACCTTACCTATGGTAACATCATTAGTTTAATCCAGAAGGAAGGATTAAAAATATGCATTGACATGAAAATCAGTAACCAGCTCAATAATGATAAAAAGCGAGCTAAATATGAAATGGGTACCTTCTGTGAACAGTATGGTCTCCCACCTAGAGCACCCTCACGAAAACAGGCCAACACCCATAGGAAGTCATATAAAAGTCACAAACGATGTCACTTATCAAAAAAAAAAAGT